ATACAAAATCTAAAAAATGTGCTCGAATTTCCCGCTCAAAATGATGTTAGGTTATGTTTTGGTCTTGGATTGGATTGGATTAGAGTGTAAAATACCTCTCGTGCTATGAAAGAGGATTTAAAAAAAAAATAACTTACCTTGTCAAAAAATCGATTTTATTACCACTCACAGCCGCACAGCGGTTGCAACGGAAATCAGTTTTCATATTGTATAGGCCCACAGTGAAGGCAGTCATACATACATAAAATATTTTTGGAAACTACTTTTGCCATTGACCCAAACCTCTCTCGACCCAAACCCCCCGACTCTCCCCTAGCCTTGGTCCTGACAACCACGGACCTCTTTGGGGAATTCTATTGATTTCCTATATGTACTTTTTGTGAGTCTTTCCTGGTTTAGACATTTTTTATACATTCCCCCTCTCATTATAAAGTGAAATATTCCTCGAAACACTGTAATTTGGCAAGCTAAAGTATTTGGAAATAGCAATCTAGACTTTCGTTTCAAAAAGGAGTTGACTACCATTTCGTGCATCTCGATGATGATTGATATATTCATTTCTTCAAAAATAGAAACTGTAAAGCTGAATGAACTCTCAAAATTTTATATTTACGTTTACCTTTACAGTAAATCCCCCTTACCTGTGCCAATTGGAAGAGTTGCTGTACTTTTGTCACGCTTGCAAAATGAATCGTTGCAATAAGCTATATGGCATTTTTACCCATGAAAGCAGCCTATCATGATCCTGCTGCAGGGCGATAAGCACAAGCAGAATTCGCTACTGGTATCAACGTTTGCCAATAAAATAAATACCTACAAAATAACCGGCCATTTATTATACAGAGGTTGCAACACACACTTTAACATCACGCGCACACCACAGACAAATACAAATAAAAACAGTACCCGATACCTACAGTGCTAAGAGGCCAAGATAAACAAACGTAAACTCAATATGTATTGTATATTACTTATACTAATAAATGTACCTACTAACAGAACTGCGCAAGAACAGAACAGAAACTATACAAATTTATACAAGATTTGGATGTGTACACATTCCCACATTATTATTCGGTGTTGCGTGGTGTCGCAAAAACAATTTTTAAAATTTAAAGTTTTAAAAATAAGGCACCCACCTTATGTGTTGCGGGCTGAAACTATTGTTGAGCAGATAAATTTCTGAAAATTGAATTCCATTGACGGGTTGATTTACTAGACACAATTAGTAGATGATTTGTATACCTAATAATTTTCAATAACATCTGTCATAGTTACCAATGTTTGCGCACAAGTACCATCTTGACATATTTGTGTTACTGACTGTTCTGCGTAGCGTATTATTTGATACGAAAGTAGAGCACATGACAAGGAAAGATAAGAAACCTTGGTGGCCATGCAAACAGAAAAAAGCAAATTTTAACACTCATAACACGGAATTCACGCTTAATGTCCTTTTAAAAGTTTTGTCCATCTAACAAAGGGAACTTTTTTAAATGCCAAATATAGTCGAAACCATGTCCATTTTTTCATTTCTCTCGTTTCCCTTTCAAATATATATAAATATTTCAAAGTATTTCTAATTCAGATTATAATCGCATACCAGATTTGGAAAAAATTCTTTTAGTTTTATAGTGCTTTTAATGCCCAATCAATATCCCTTTATATTCGTTTTTAAAGTTAACTAAGATACACGACAACATAACAGAGTATCCGGTTTTTTATTCCCTCGACACATACGAGAAAATGAATTTGAAAATAATATTTCTGTTTTCCGATAAAATTTGTTGAAAAATTGAACTTGGCGCACTCAAATACACTAACTTGCCTGGTAAAGAATATAGCCGACATCACACACGATATGTCAAACTTTTAAATTTAATCCAAATAGAAATTTCTTCCTGGCCAGCGAGAGTCGCTAATTTAATAACATTAAACATTAAATTTATTTTATGGTTTTCATACTAATTGTTTTAAATTTAAATAAGCAAATCATAGTGAGGAAATATTAAAAAAATCCGTTGCTATGGAAATCTATCAACGAAATTAATTTTGATTGAAATTTAATTCGGAAATGTTTTCACCACTAGTAATACCACTAGTGAAAATTGTTACTGTTTTGTTATACTTGTTAATTACGACAAAAGTTGACAGCTAACCCTACATTTTTGATATCATTTAATACAAAAAAGTTACAGAAAATGAAAATGCGATCAAGATAAATTGAATGAAATATTCCCCCTTTTTATTTGCCATAAACAATGTACGTGTCTACTAAAAATAAGTTTAATGGTGTCTCTTTAAGACCACAGCGCCATATTGAGGTAAAATACAGGTTTTTCACTTTAATAACTTAAATAGAAATCCAATTAATAAAATAGACTTCCCGTTATACAACCCGCAGGAGAGTTATACATTATACTTTATTGTGGTCTTTGGGATTATATAGCGGGACACGAAGGCCTTCGCGAAATAGAAATGTATATCACTGTTGATGGTAATATAAACAGGTCTCGGTGGTCTATGCTAAACTTTACGAGGAATTTATGAACTCTTGGGAAAATTGGAAGCCAGAAAATTCCTATTCAAGAAACCAAAGCAAAATTTAGTGCCTCTTTGACTATTTGTGGGTATTTTTTGGTTAGTTTCGATTAGTTATGCCAAATTTTCTTTTTCCTGTTAATCATTAACAGTTAATCATTTTTAATATATGCTCAATTTGAGATTGAGTTGAGTTTTAAAAGTAATATCATCGATGGTAATTTCATCAGCGAAGTGTATTTTATTGGTAATTATGAGAACCATTTCATATTGCATTGTTCCTATCCTCATAGTTGTACAAACTTTATTTGTTGGTGGCCATGGCAAAGTATTATAGTATTTCTAACTATCAACTGTGTTATTTGTATCGTTTTTTTTTTTCTCTTAAACTGGCTCTAGGCTAGTTCATTAATTTTTTTTTATAAAATTGCCTAAACTTTGATAATAATTGACATTTTATGTCTTCGTATCCCAAAAAACATAATTCGAAAAAAAATCATATATGGGCCCTGAAGAAAAATTTAGTACGTCATTTATTAGTTCTGCGTCAGCCAAATCTTCCATGTACCGCCTTCCATGCCATAAAAATTTCGATGGTGGATAACTCGTTTCATAAAAAACTAGAACAATAACTAAATAAACTTTTTCTACTCTCTTCTGTAAAATGGAGGAGCAATCGGATGGTTTCGGAGATTTTACCGCACGGCTTGAATTTTCACGGTGGTCAATTCTGACGGTCTTTGGTATTGGTATTTAAAGGGCGTCCAAGCATTTATGCCACCAGATGGGCCCGTTGTGTCCTCAGACCGCTCTAGAGGGTACCCAGGATGGCGCTCCTCCTATAAAAGGTCAGCAACTCCTTTAGTCATGTCAGTGAATGTATTCGGTCATAGAAAAAGTATAGTATGCAAGACATTTGGTAAACTTTTATTAAACACTCGCTCCGCTCGTGTCAAATAAACTTGCGACTCAAATGCCATTTACTGCACTTGTTGCACACTGCGTGTTCGAAGTGTTTTCGGAGCGCGAGCATTGAAGATGCCAAGTGAGATTTTGGCGAAACGTCTGCAGGATTCCAGTCGGAGTTCAACGAGCGAACGGATGATATCCCGGAATATAGTGTCATTATATATATATATATATATATATATATATATATATATATATATATATATATATATATATATATATATATATATGGCACATATAAATTGTACCACCCGAGAATACGTTCCAAGTTTTGAAAATCACCAGACATTATCAGTACCGATCCCAGCAGTTAACAGTTAGCCTGGTCTAAATGCCGATCGTAAGCGTCAAGAACCATCCATTATTATGCCAAAATCCTTCACAATCTCTGTTATTATGTAAGAGCCCTCATCAGCATTCTTACTACGCATTCAATTTCATGTTCTTAATCCTACTCCACTCCACCGAGAAGTTTCTGTCCCTTTGGAGGACTTCACATTCTTTACCCGAGCATAGGCATCAAAATATTTTGAGATCATTTGCAAAAAGTAGGTGGTTTGCTTGAAGGTGGTAGACACTGATTCAGGAGAAAGTGTCGAACTTCCAGTGTCATTATTTTTTGTGTTGTGGAGACAAAAATTTAAGACAATGGAAGCTCGATTTAGTGGTTAGTGCTAGTTGGACTCCAACTGCCTCCCTCTATCGTTTATGAAGATAAAAAAATATTTTGGGGCCAAATGAGGCACATCCGATATTACACCTACTATAAAGGATAGGATCCAATTCACCTTGACCTGCTCAGTACATCCCTACAAAAATAGGTGACAATAACGAACCCATAATACCAAACTCGTCAAGTTTATTCACCAATAACTTGTCCAGCAAATCGATTGCTGAAATCTGCATATAAAGAGCGAACCTCATATTTACTCGTATCTCTGCCTTACATTTTATACTTAGAAAAAAATACAACCTCTACCAAATAATTTACAAACACAACAGTTAATTGTATATTACACCACGTACGAGCGGAATACCACAATACTTTTTCCTAACCATAAGCTTTTGGGTATATTTTTGTAACACGAATACATTCATTGAGTAACGTGTTACTTGACCACCAACAATAAAATATCATCAGTGTTTAAAATCTACCAAAAACAGCCTACCGGTCTCTGGCTCGCGTCGGTGGTTAACGAAGCTGATGTCTTAAAATGACACTTTGCGGAAACCGGATCATTGCAAAATTGGGCGTTTTAAAGTGTCTAATAGAAAAAAATATTTTGAAATAGATATTTGTTTACACCCTACTCAAAAATATCCTATCCTATCCTTAAGTGTCACTTTAAGATGTCAGCTTCGATTAACCTGGTCATCATCGACTTTACGACTTACGCGTTAAACTTGCAAGCTTTACACGTGTTATCATGCGGCTTAACTCTGTCCGTCCTAATTTTTATTCACTTAACAATATCACTGTGCATTTTCAGAGAGCTTGCTGGACTCATCGACGTTGCCTCCGTACACCATAACTGCGCGTCCTCAAAGCAAACGCAACTGCGCAACACAAATGCCAGTCAAGCCGTACCACGTGACATGGGCACCGATACTTCAATCGCGCAACTGTTCCACGCAGACGCCACCCCCACACAAGGAAAGTTCCGTCTAGTCCACGTGGTTTCATCCCCTTCTCCCCTTACCCGCAGAGCAGAAGTCTTCGAATCCCAATCAGATGTCTCGGCACCGGGACCAATACCACCTGTGATATTTGTGAATATCTCATATTTTTAAGCATTACATTTAAAAACATTATCAAATGAATAAGTAAAAAAAACTGTTACACGCTGTTATTATTTCATTGTCAATAAAATATCATTTCGTGTGAGTATAGTGTTTCATATAACATTCAAAGGCAAATACTAGTATAGTAATAATAACACTAAGAAAAGCATTTTAATTTTGAATCCACCTTGATTTAGAATTCTAAAGAAAATTGATCCACCACCCGCCCATTTAACAGAAAACCTAGAACTTGACATACAATAAGTCGTATTTTCGAGACCTAGTACTGCTGAAATATGTTGTTCCCTTATTATTTACAATAACCAAAGCGACTTTTAATTAAGTTGTGGCGGCAATTGATAATTAGTCATCAAATATAAAACAAAAAACTTTATAAAATTGTTGGCATAATAAAATTACAGCTTTTCGAATCGGCGTCAAAAATATAGGATATTAAACACCATGCATTTCTGTCTAAAAAGTAGCCATAAATCCGAAGAAACTCAGTATAGACCATAACAACCCTACATTGGGTTGAGTATAAAAGGGAGTATCTATTAATATAATAATTTACAGAGTGTTCTATTTAAAAATATGTTTGATTTTTCACATATTTATAAATCAGTCTCGTCTATAACCCTATAGATATATTCTCCTACATCATTAAATTAAGTTAAATAATTTGATAATAGTTTAAATAAATTATTAAGTTTAAAAGTCCATTTTTTTGATGTTAATAACACTTTTTTTTACCTCAATTTGACGTGTTTTTCAAACCACTGGTGAGTAGCGACCAATTATGACTCGAAAATGATGTCACTGTGACGAGCCTCTGCTACCTGGGAACGCAGCTTAGTCTGGGAATGCTGTTAAGGCGCCTTAAAGCCTGAGGACAGCACTACTTGATCGCTGGAATGCAAAACCTTAAGATGGCTATCATATGTATCTTGATGATGGGAAAACACCATTTTTTTGTATGCTGAAATTTCCATCACGCTGATTCCATTTCAGTATACATCCAGTTCACTCATTAATCATTGTATCAAACAAAAAACAAAAATCAATTATCTCTGTATCAAAAACTCGGACTCTATTTTTGAAGTATATTGGGTGAAAATCTTTTAGAAAGTTTCCAGTAGAAACAAAAGATTGAGAACTGACTTTTTTTTACGAAAGCTAACGGCTCCAAATTCTTCTACGATTGTCGAAAATGGACGAATGATTCCAGCGGACTTGTCCTACAGGAATATTCGAAGAAGAAAGATGAACTAGCCCTAGACTAGGGATTCTGTGGTGGAGCATTGCACGTGGCGGTTTAACCTCCGTTCGCTCCCGACAGAATCCCTTGTATTCGTCCTCAAAAGTTTGATATCGGTTTCCACTGTGTGGACTTAGTGTTGTTAGTGTTCAGTGCATGTTTTAAAGTTATAATCGTCGTCGGCCCCGTCGTTTTTCCCCGTTCACGCCGGTATGGAGGCCGGATGGGCCCGGATGGTCCGCAGTGGAAGCGGGGGGTGTCGGTTTTTTTTGGTATCGGTCAAATTTGTTTTTTTGCTAGTTGAGCAAATATTGGTTATATGTCTTCTTTGTACGTGTTGGTCAATGACCAAAAGCGAAGATCCTCGACGGAAGTCGGCAATGGGCGAATGATCCTAGCAGTCGAGCCCAACATTTTTTTGTGAAACGCATACTTGAACTTGAACTTAGCCCTAGACTAGGTCGTGAGCATTGCACATGGCTGAATAACCACCGCTCGCTCCGGACAGAATCCCTTGTAATCGTCTCCAAAAGACTTGAAATCGGTTTCCACAATTTAGTGTTCTTAATGTTTAGTGAATGTTTTAAAGTGCGGAATCGTTGTCAGCCCCGCCGTTTTTTCCCTTCCACGCCGGTTGAAGGCCGGTTGGGCCCTGATGGTCCGCGGATAGTGGGTAGATCTTTTTCTGATATCGGTCAAATAACCTTTTTTTTGAGAAACTATTAAGTATATATTAACAAACCTGGAGGATGATGGAATGGTGTAGACCCTTCTCTTATGAAGACCTCCTTTAGGATTTTTGAATACTGTTCACAATTGGAAACTAGCCGAATGACCTTATGTAATCGTGGCTATTAGAAGTAAGGAAGAAGAAGAAGCCCCAGCTACTAGCAGCTGACTTTCGGTTATTGTGATATTTTTTTAATATGAATAATGATAATTCTGTTATTTACGGACTAGAATCACAGGTATCACAACACGATTTGTCAATTGATCACATTGGTGAATAATGGTGTCAACCGTAGGCCAGGGCGTTGGCTCCTCAATTAGCCGAAACGGAAAAAATCAAATTCCTTATAGGTACCCAATCTTTAAAGCAAACCACCAACCAAATTCACCTAGTAGAATTCAACGAAGAATTATCAACGATTAAAACATCCGTAGTTATATCCCCTGGGTGAAAAATGTACTTATTGAATCAAGATTTTAGGTCTTTCACCATACAGATGGTGAAATATGGAAACTGACGACAAGCCTTCTCGATCCGCTTAAATTAGCAACGTGCTATAACGTAGTTATAAACGACAATAGCTGCATTTTCAAGACTGCCATTCTGAAGCTTCCTGAAGAAGAAAACCTGGAAACCATAGAAAATCTGGAAATCCTTACAAGTTTTGACACTGTCGAATATGGCACTGACATAAAAACGACGGAATTTCATCCAACAGACGGTTGCAAAGCTGCAAGTGTAATAGATAATCATGTAGTTTTATGGGATATATCAGAGAGTGAAGGCCGGAAAGTCATGAGTGTTCAGTTAGATGGTAAAAATAACCCTAAATTTACCACTGGAAAATGGAATCCGCATCAGAATTGCAATCAGGTACAAGATTACAATGAAATATTTACACTGTTTAGCTGTGTGTTGATAGTTTAGTACTGCAACTGACACAAATGTCAAAACATATGACATTAGGACCGGAGATCTGGCCTGGACAATTGAGGGAGCCCACACTCAACTACTTAGAGATATGGACTATAACATGAACAAACAGTACCATATCGCAACATGCGGAGATGATGGATTTGTAAAGATATGGGACTTCAGGCAGCCTAGTCAGGCAGTATATGCTCGAAATGAACATTCCCACTGGTTGGGATGTGTAATATTTTTAATTGCTTCTGCTAATTGCATGTACATTTTAAGGGTTTGGTGTGTTCGATTCAACCACTTCCATGACCAGCTGTTGCTTACATCGAGTTCGGATGCTCGGGTATTACTTTCTAGCGCTGCTAGCGTAAGTTCAGAAAATACCAATGAAAGTTGCTCTGATGAGAACAAAGGGGTGGAAACAAAACAGTTGTAAGTTTCATTTTATAATCCCACATGCGGATTTGGTAAATGCTCTTTTCCCAGATTGTCAGATGGTACCTTACAATGGTGTGAACATGAAGACAGCGTATATTGCGCGGAATGGTCCCCATCGGAACCTTGGGTTTTTGCTTCTCTAAGTTACGACGGGAGATTGTTAATTTCGAGGGTGAAACGTTCTTTGAAATACCAAATTATGCTATAATTTATTAAGTTTTTTTTTTTAATTCTGTGACCCTTAATTATTTCCAGAATAGAACAAACAACCCATACAGATTTATATTTTCTACCCATATTCTACTTCAATATGTTTTTTATAACACGCATGGAATTAACCTGTTATATTATTATTATTTTCGCCCTATTATCTAAAAAGTAAGTAATATTATAACTTAGAATTTGAACACAAATTCAAAAATAGATAGGTATTGATAAAAAATCATTCAAAGTACTTTTACAAGACAAAAATCAATATTTTAAAAATTATTAATTTAAATTAATGAATTAATAAACAATTGCAAGCTATTAAAACATTCATGACATTGATTAACATATAAATATTAACGTCTTTATTTACCATAAATTACAAAGGAAAAAAAAGAAACAATGGAAAATTGCATTACATGGTGGAAAGGTGGAAGTTTTTCAGCTTAGCCTAACCCAAACAACAATAATTTATACTAAACCCTATCGATATTCGATAAAGAAAAACAACGTTGCAATATAATTACGGAAGGATACTCCCAGATAACTAATTCTTTGAGTATCTTTTTAAAAGATTCGTTAAAACATTTAAGTGACCCAGCTTCATGACAACAAAAAGGAGAAAAAAATAAATGAACAACCAATAAAAGGTGCACAGTCGGAAAGGAATTAATCCTTTTGTGAAGGAACTGAAGAAAGTTTCCTCTGTTGCGATCGTTGGCCGAAGTCAGTTTAGTAACTCTTCTAATGGCGGATTTCAATGCGAAAGGTTGCTCTCTATTATCCTGTTTGTCTTTTTTTTTTTTTCTCTCTGGTCGATGGTCCATCCTCCTCTGACAACTCTACAACTGCTTTAGGGTATCTATTCCAGATTCTTTCTCAAACACTCAAAATTCGTCGTCCACATCATCTTCAAACTAATCTTCCTTCAAATACTTTGTCGTTGGAATAGGGGACGGACTTGAATTACGAAAAGGGGATTGGGAACTCTGCCTTGTTTAGTGTTTTTAGTGCTTCAACTGTAAATTCATTATTTATTATTCACCACTACTTTGTTCCTCCGCTTCTTTGCGCTGAACTGTTTCGATTTAGCAAGGGTTAAAAAATCACCCATTTTTCACCACTAGAATTTGAAGTTTCGACACACGTGCCTCTAAATCTGATTAATGAAAATTTGATTAAAAAAAAAAAAACATTAAAACCCTGTTGCTTGCTGTCCTTCTCACCCATCAAAGGATTTAGTGATATCAGAAGCATATCAAACGAAATGTGTGAATCTATTGTAATGAAATATTAGGATGCAACAGTTCATATGAGTATTTTTGTTACGTCTCTGGACTCTTGAGATTCGCTTATTAAATTATACCTTATTATCACATTGCCAGAACATAATATATAAACTGGGCAAAATTAATGCAGCATCATAAATTTGCAACATTTGTGATATTTTTTTTCTGAACTTATGATCAGATTTAAATGATTTTTCTTTGCATTGCAGGTTGGTTCCTTGACAATGTCATTGTTTTCGCTAATAATAATAAGTTCATTTTTGATTTATACCGGATGTAATAAAAATGTTGTGTTTTTCCGAAAATTCGTATCACCCTATGGAGTATACCAGCAACCGAAATATATAGCAGTTGACATTAGAAGGTAGCTCCATCATTTTCTTTTTTAGTTTACTTCATTATCTTTCTTATTTCTGACATTTCAAGCGATTTGTTAACAGAGGTTGTGTTTTTAATTTACAAAAGTCAAATAAAATTCGCCGTACTGATAAAAACTGTTCGGAGACTCCTTATTGAACGTTCTAACCAAAACTAACCAAAAATGTATTTGCAGAAGAAGCAGTAACAGCTTTAACTTTAATGGATGAGTAATGACTTTAAAAAAAAAAATAGTCGAACGACTTAAAGAGACAGGATCTTACTGTCCAAGGAATGAGCGTTTTATTAGACAAACTGGGCTAAAAAGTGAACTTAGAACTGTTCGCCATACAATATCGTTTCGAACAATCAGAAGACGTTTAAATGAGGCTGATTTAGACAGCAGAAGACCAGCAAAAAAACAATTGCAATTACAAGAGTGTGAATCAACGCCGATTATTATCTAGAAAACAATGTAAATGAACATGTAATTCCATTTGTTCCCTTTTTGGACCAAATGTTTATTTATGCAGGATAATGTTCGTGCCCACGTGGCTAGACAAGTTATAGACCACATGAACTCTGTAGCTATTCCATTGATGGAATGGCCACCTCACAGTCCCGATTTAAATCCTATAGAGCACCTATGAGATGCTCTAAACAGAAAGGTTGGAACTCGCAATCTCGTGCCGATTGACCACAATCAATTGGTGAATGCAGTAATTGTAGAATGGGAGAATATTCCTCAAGATACAATTAAAAATTTAATATCCAGTATGCAGATGCGTATGAATGCTGTGATTCGAAGTAGAGGCAGATATATACGCTATTAACATTATAGTGTCTATTAATTTTAGAGTTTTTGATTTTTTTTCGTTTTATGTTTCACGGTTTAACTTGTTTCCAAAAAAAATTTCTTTAATAAGCTCACATGCAACCTTAATATTGTAATTACTTTATTAAAAAAAGTAACTCGTTAATTTTGTTTTCATTTATTAAAGCGAAAGAAAAGTGGGAAAAATTCGAATACATTTAACAATTAATGTATTGAATCATAAAATATATAACATGTTACGCTATAAAACGGTGTATTTCCTTTAACAACAGGGATAATGAAGTAAAATAAAAAAAAAAAATGGCGAAAGATGGAGTCACCTTCTAATGACAACTGCTATATGTTTCGGCTCCACAGAGTGAAGCATAAAAAATGTGGCGTTAATTTTATTTAATATTATTATTAAGTTTATACTTTATGCATAATTTTTAAAAGAATCCCTAATATCCCTAAGTTAAATTATATGAAGTTATTTAAAAAATATGTACTGCGAGTACTTCGGAGATCCTTTTGAGGTTCATGAAAAGAGGTGCGCGTTGGATTGTTAATCGTTATGCAATTTAAAATTTAATGATTTCAACCTAAGAGGTAAGACCAAAACTTTTATTCCTTTGTTTACAGTCTATTATAGTTCACTTTTTCAATGATGCCATCTTTTTTGAAATTAACTTTCGGGATCTGTAAATTTATTTACTTTGGTTTTGTGTTCTTTACGGGGAAAATAAAACTGAACAGTAAAATCGTTTATTTAAAATTAGCTACACAGTATAATCACATATGCAGTTTGATAAAAAATAATATAAAAGACACATTCCATAACGAGTTAAACTAATAAATTCAGTCACACGTGGCACTATTTTAAATGATTTTTTGGCCTTCTTATAAGCGTGTATTTTTAATTGTCCCAAACAAACATGTCTAGAATCAGTCAACCCAATAGACCAAAAAAATGTCCTCATAATACCCGCTCGGCATTGGATTTTCTTCAAATCCGCTCAATTTGTTTGATTTCATATTGTACAATAATGTATATTATAATTTCTAAGCGAGGGAGAGAACTAACGTAATAAAAAAGTCACACCTGCTTGCAACTAACCAAAATACAAAATAATAAAATGGAGTGTGCCCGTTTGCACTGTTTTTAAATATACATTAAAGTCATTAAAAAAATAAATAATTTTATTTTCCTTGCACCAATTTTTGCTCATTAATTAAAATAAGTGACAAAAAGCTAATGAAGAAAAGACTATCAAAATTAATTTCTATATATTTGCTTGATCATTGGATGGTATATGGGTGATGTCAACCCAGCATATCACTTTTGAAACACCCGCAGTTAGTGAAAAAACTCTAAAATTTAATGAACACAAGTTACCAATGGGTTTTTCTTACACCGGTTTTGTAGTCTATATATAAAGCTCGAACAACACCTTCAGTATAAGCGACAACGAATATATTGATGAAACACAAATATGATTCACTTTTAACTAAAAATATTTTATCTGTGAAATCCTGAGCTCAAGATATTTAACATTGCCAATTCACTTAGATAAAGTTTCCTTTTTGGCATAAAAATTTATTATATTATATATTATTAATATATTTAGATTATGACAATAACAAAATAATTCTTCTGGAAACCTCATTTTGTTTTTAAATGTTAAATCTTGAAATGTTGGGATAAATTGCAGTCAAGAACATTGTGCTCCTTTCTAAATAGGGATTAAAGTTTCATTTGCGAATATATGCAGTTCTGCGGCGCAAAAACTGATAATTAATTCACAGCAAAATTTTTCAAAATAGCCATAACTTTTTTTTCAATCTTGTGCCTTATATCTGAACCTTACCTTAAAAATGCGAAATTTGGAGTTATGATAAAAAACTTTTCCTGGGCTATCATTCTCGCTATGTTATTTTGTAAATTCAAGATAATTAAGCATTAATAACAACCCCTAAGCTGAACATTTTTTCCTAGTACCCAAATTTTTGTTTTTTGCGTTAACTTCTTTTACTCGTATTTTAGTTTAAGACAAAGATATTGAGATGCGGTTTTCACTGGGTTGTTGGGCACATATTTGACTTCCATCATTGAATTTATTCTATTTTATTTATTTTTGCGATTATGCCAGAAAACGAAACCTAGTAGCAAGGTAAGTAATCAAATTGCGGCACTCACAGCAAGATTGATAGCCTAGGGAAAGCCCTTTGTAACTACTCCAAGTTTATTAAACTTCGTTAAACCTTTTTGGAAATATGGGCATTTAAGTAAGTATTCAAATACCCCCACCACTTTAATTGCGGAGATAGAGCAAACGGTATTAAAGAAAAATCATTTGAGTTTGTCTCAGCTTTAAAATAGAACTTCACATTAACCATGGTTCATAGTAGGAGTTTTTGTAGAAACTGAGGTTTAAAATACAAGATAACAATTATGCCCTCTGGTGGCCATTTTAGAAACCCGAAAACTATTTCCAACATTTTCTCTTGGCCGACTTACTTAATTTTTTTTTTTTTCAAATTTCTAGGGCCATGGGTTTCGCTAGTACAATTGAACTTACTGCGACACTTGGTATAATTGGCGTTCTCAAAATAATATATCTGATAACTGAATCATCGCCTTACGCAATGACCTTCCTGTTCAAACTAATGAAGGGTGCAAATGGAATATTGTTATCTGGTTTGAAGTGGTCTTGATACAAACGGGACACAATATATAGATATGCGCAAAGGTCTCAATTTTCCCGATTCATGTTTCTATTTACCACTTAATCTACAAAAAACGCGAAAGAGCGAAAGAGAAAGACGGACTAATTATACTGACCCATTAACCAGCAATTCGAAACTTCCACCAGACACAATTGATGAGAACTAAGTTCCATTCGATGCATTTGAACTACCGGCACTATCTTTATCAGTATCATCATTACCGAGTTTCTTAACAACGGGCTCACCACTATCGTCTTCAAAAAATTGAATATCCCCAAAACTGACTCGTTTTGTGTGATTTTTGGTAGCAGTTTCTGGTTTAACGTTCGACGTCCTCGGTACCGGTATCTTGTCACTCAATGTCGAGTTATTATTCTTGTCGATTAGTATGTAGTTCAACGGTACCACGCCGGATTTGCCGTCCTTGACCGCGAAAGCCCATCCTGTATTTTTCAAATTCATTTCTTCCTGGATGTAAGTTGGAGCTAGAAGGATCCTATCGTTCGTCTGAATCGGCAGTTCGTTGGCGGACGTCGCTACGAAATCGAAACAAGCCTTGGCCCTGATTCCGGGTGCTTTCCATTTGCCCGGATCACTTTTATCTGAAAAGGTTATAGTTTCTTATTTGTGATGATTGCACCGACTGCAGCGATTTGTAGTGGAAATTACCACATGTAGTTATGAATCCACCATTATGTGTAAAATCAATAAAATTCGAGGCAAATACACCAACAGAGCATATTTAAATTATTCTGGTTACTAGGAAACTACCATCAATAAAAAGATGATGGATGGAACCTCGCCAATAAGGCATGGGGCACTTTTTGTTTCGTTTTTAATAATCTTCCAAAAACAAGCTCTCTATCAATGTTGAAGAGTTCGAATTTATCCTTTTTTTAATGATTATGGTGCATTTTAACATGACCTGCAATATCTTATATAAATTCGATAATACTTTATTTATTTGACGCAGATAACTTTGCAGTAAACGTCACAGTTTGCAACATTTGTCTCAATATTTATAGTAATTTGAGATAATAAATTTGTTTTTGGGTACATAAATTTTCCATTGAAATAAATAATGATTTAGTTAATTAATTCACTCAATTGAGAATATCAGGTTGGAAAATGATATTTAAATTTCAATATCTACTATATATATATTTCAATATCAAAGGAATAAAACAATAATTGGAAAATTTTGACAAAATAAAATGAAATATAAAAAATGAAAACAAAAAATTCTCGTCTGTCCCATTTTTGATCATTTATGTTGCGGGTTTCGTGGCCCAGGTCTTCTTTTTCATATATACATTACATTTCTAGACACCCTTTGCGTTTTTTACGCAGGATCCAGTGGCTTACTCAAGTTTCTTCTGAAACTTCCGAAATTTGATATATAAAATAAACTTTCTTTAATGGAATGGAATCGAATGGAAGTTTGGAAGGTAGTAGGTTTGGAATTAGCTTTTCAAAAATATGTAACACATAAGGATGTTTCAAATATAAAGAATATAACTTTAATTATATCTTTTTTATAATTTATTGCAAAAGCAATATCGAATGCGCAACAGTAGGCAGAAATTAAAATAATAATTATGAAACGTTGTTTGACAGCTAAAGTCTTTTAGGAAAACGGATACTTTTTTCCATGGCCTAAATATAAAAAAAAATTAAAGATATATGCTTTTTACTTAAAATTATTTTTATGAGTTATATATTCTGGAAAAACCTAATAAAATTACACAGTGGGTTCTGTTTGAAAAAATACAAGCTTACTTCATATATCAAAATTTGTTTCAGAAAAAAACTGACAACACCACTGGATCGTAAATCTGTAAAACTTAGTAAGACTGGTTTTCACCTTTTTGATTAGTTTAGGCACAACCAAGCTACAAAGAGTGTCTAAAAATGCGAAATTTATCAAATTACCCTGTATCTAAAAATCCAGAAACATTTCTGTTTATGTTATTCATTTCATGAAGAAGTAGCCTTGGGTCGCGAAAACCGCAACATGCTACCTTTATTAGTAAGAGAAATCAGTAATGGGATACCCTGTATATAATAATAAGCCGCTTGTATCCGATATGATTTATTCTTGTATTTATTGTATGAAAGGTAAAGCGAACATTTTAAATTGCCTTTTCCATTTATTTTAATTTGACTGTTTTAAATATTTTTATCTCAATTGCTTTTGCAACATGAGTTGTGAACCACACAAAGGATACTTTACCCCAAGGGTGGGATCGGGACATTTACATTCGTCTAGCGAATCTATATACAATAATAATCCAATTGTTAGGTTCGTCAAGGTCAAACACCTAGTTAAATGCGGTAAATAAAAATAAGTGTTTCCATGTAGTAACTGTTAGTTAGCATATGGCTGCCAAAATGTCAACGCATTCAAAATTTAGTTGCTTCAGACTATACATATACAGGCGGTTTCTTTAAGGGTAGCCAAAGGCCATATCTTAAAACTTACTGAACTTTAGTACCATTATTAGAAAGTTTTGTCTGAGCCTCATATCGATCTTAATAAGAATTAGGGAATCTCCTGAGTGTCTAATTAGTTAAATCGCTGTATCTTCTAAATGACCTATTTGATATCAACAAACTCAGGCTTGTTTGAAGGAGACATGTAACTGTTTTCAAGTATTATATCCTCTACTGGTACTCGATAGTTTGAAATAAAATTGCTAGATTGCGCAATTAGCAATAATAACAGTTTTTTAATTTTGTTCCGAAAATTGAATTTTGATTTTTCATTCAAAAATTTAGTTGAAAAAATCTTGAAACTGCAGTTTGATAACTTTTGTTGGCTATATTTTGTCCTTTACTTGATATGGACTAGCTCTAAGTTTTCATAAACTGTGGGGAGGGACGCAGAATAAGGCAAATAAACATTAATTGTTACTAAACCTAGCTACAAAGTTAGGAAACTATATATAAACAATTTTTTCAATGGTTAAAAAGTGTTCTTTTGAAAACAACTCTAGAAGGGGCACAGAAATCGGATAGTATTAATATGTTTGCATACAAAAAATCTACTTTCTAGACATAAAAATTGTACTGTATGATTTAAAATTTTAATTCTACAACACCCCATCTTAAATGCCTTACCCTCATATTTTGGCAAAAATCTACTGATGATATAGGGTGCGGACACAATTACCCCCAGGAATGCCAGAGTTGGCCAGCTGGAAGCAGGTGAGCTTCTCGGTAACCCGCCCTCCCGCACGGCTTCGTTCCATGCGAGCGACGTACTGCTGTGGGGTACAGGTAGTCCCAGAAGTCTCCGTATTTTTCGGTACGCCCAACTGAAGAATCGAAATATATTCACCGAGTACCAAATCTGGCCGAAGGTGGTTCTCAGCTTGCCGAAATTTTCAGCAACGCTCAAAATAGCACGGAAAGAGCTAGTCATTGCGAAGAATGTGTTGTCGAGCATCATTGCGAAACTATTGAACGCGCGCACCAGACTTTCAACATTCGCGAAAGTATGGCGTGAATTTTCCTCTACATATTGAACAAAACGACGTTCGGAATCGTCACGGGACAAACCCGGGTACCCATACATATTGTAGCCGGCGTAAGACGAGCCATAGCTATTGTACATCGGGCTTTGGTATGGTGAACCATAGCTGCTCATACTACTTAGACCTGCAACGAAATTAAACGCTGCATGTTAGAACGGGTTATTCGCACAAACAATTAGTTAATTTTCTAATATCAGTTGCTGGAATTAAGGTTTGATGTTATCTAAAATATTTGGACTATCACTTTTGATCGAGCTTCTGATTTTGGAATTATGAATTTATTCTAAAACTGATAATTGTTGAGGCTTGGTTCCTTTTAATGGGGTCTCAAAACATCTTTATTACAAATTATAACATATACAAGCAGATATATGACCCTGCTAAAAATTCCTGCAATAGTTTCTTTTACAAACTTTTTTTCAAAGTTGGCAGTTAGTGTTGTCAAATTATATACGCACATTAACAAGAACTTTTTTCTGTTATTATTAGCTGAACCCAATAACTTTGTAATTTTTTACATATTTCAGATTATCTTATTACACTTCACTTAAATTTCCAAAATTTTGAAAGATAAATTGAAGAAATGAAGGAACGTTTTGATATTTTAGAAAAAAATAATTAAAAACCAAAATATCATTAATTTTAATTAAATCACATTTATTTGTGCCAAAAATGTTGATTAAAAAATAATTTGAATTGTTTAAAAATGTTTGATAATGTTTAATACTAATAATAATATTGAAGTTCATTTCCAATAAAGCAAAGAAATACCAGGTAATAAATTTGATAGGCCAGTAAATATAGCAAAGAAATTAGTTAGATCGGTAATTAGCCTTTGACTTGTCGTCTAAATTTTATTGTATATTTTATCTTATCAAAAAGCAAGGGCATTTTAACCAGACCCTTGACCTTTGGCAATTATTGTTTCAAATCTAAAGATTAAGGTTGTTGAAATTTTTAAATGAGGATAATTTGACGACAAATTTTTTGATGAAAATATAATACAGATAATTTTAAAAGTTGCTTCCCACAATTATTATTCTAGTGGTTTTATTGCAAATTTGATGATGGAGAGTCACTTTAGTGTCTGGACCTTGGCCTTCACCTACAATTATACTAAATTTAAAATCAATTAATTACAAACGTTTTGGATCAAAATTGCACCTTGCTCCATTCAATTAAGCAAAACATTAAAAACTCGTAAATAAAGCACTAAATGACAAAAATGTATTAAAAACCACCTCATTTCATCGCAAACGAAATGCATCCAAGGGAATTTGTAATATTTTGGCTACAGAACAGTGAAAGCTACTTGGTTCATGTTAATGACTGCCTCATAAAACTTACTTGAGTAAGGCAAATATGAATTATAGGACCCGTAATATCCAGGATTCGAGTTTGAAGAAGGCCTGGGAGGCAACGCAGGGGCCATTCTTCCGGGAGCTAATGGGGTGCCAGAATTTTGCGCCCTGATAAACTGTGTGGAATTCTGCAACGCGTTTGGTGCTTCCCAAGGTTTTAACGGGGACGTCATGTTTAACATTTAACACTCTTGTTTACAGTTAATAACCGCACAATTTTATTACACATTTTTAATACGATTGCGACACTACGTGGTATGAATGCCCGAACTTATTCATACAAAATATTTTAGATCCGAGCAAGTTAATACTTCCGATTATTGACTCTTATTTCTCGCGTTCTTTAGGATCGCAGATAGAATGTTATTTTGCGTAATAAACATTTCCGTAATTTTCTCTATCAATTCACTATTAAAAACTGAATGGGAACACGGTTGCTGTGGACAAATTGGAATCAAATAAAAAAATACTAAGAAAACAGTCCAACCACAGAAAACATTGAATGGTACGTTTCCTTTCAGTTCTACCTCTCCACTGCATTTAGTACATGTCTTTTCTATGAGCTCAGCATAAACACTCTGAGTCATAATTACCATAGCCTCGTTGGCACAAAGAACAAAATGTATTGGATTTTTTTGGTGGAATGTTACTTTTTAGTGTTTGGGTGTTTTAATTTTATTTCATAATAGGGCGTCCGAATAAATCACTAATTTCCAAATTTCAACGATTTGGAGATTAGCCTATTAAAAATGGAAAGACAGACAACACATCTGTGCTTGGAGCGATTTTGTCGGTGCCATTGCACATGGCGGTTTAATCTATTTTCGCTCTGGCAGAATCCGTTGTAATCGTCTTAAAATTTGATATCGGTTCCAAAAGTAGAATGTTCTTTTTTTCTGAGTGTTTTGTGATTGTTTTAAAGTTATATTCGTTGTCAGTCCCTCTGTTTGTTCTCGTCCACGCCGGTATAGAGGCCAGATGAACCCGGATGGTCCGCGGTGGAATCGGGAGAGGCCGTTTTTTGTCATCGGTTCAAGATTTTTGAAAAACGTTTAATTTGTTTTTTATATGTTAATCAACCTGGAGGATGATGAGTTAGTCCAGACCCTTCTTTTAGAAAGGTATTTTTTAGTTTCTTGTACTAAGTTCACACTCGTCGTAACCTGGCCGAATGACCCATTGTAATTTTGGCCATTAGAAGTAAATCTAACCCAATCTGTGCTTGGAACATTACCGCCACACATCACATGCTTCTACCGCAATTTTTCTTTTTCGTGTTCACAACACACTTGGCAGGTTTAATAATACTTTTATTTCAACAATTAGGGTAATAGATACCAAACTTTTTATTGACACATTCATAGTTCTTTAAGGAATTTTTCACCCCTTGATGCCAAATATTTCTAGCATTTCCTAGATAGTGTGCTATAATTTTATACCACAGTCTGAAGTGATAAAAGTTTTCACGCGTAGCAACTAGAGATATAGAGACCCTACTTATTCTAATAGTACATATGAAGCAACTATGAAAAAAAATTGTGAGTCCATTCCAAATATGTGCGCATGAGCGAAATTTAAAATCTCGTTTTTAACTGATGACCTTGCGGCTGCCGACAGATCGCCTATGAGTTTGGATGCTGCATTTTTACGGCAGTATTTTCTCAAAATATATCCAAAATTCGTTAAATGTTCTATAAAGACGAATTAAATGTGTGTAAATCTCTGTTCAGAAAGAAAATGGCGCAAAGTGCTGGCTAGCAATATACTACTGCAATATACTACAAATCAGTCCACTCTCCACCTAGGGCGCATTAATTTTTGCCATAGTAGAGCCACTATGTTATCTAATAGCTATATGTATTTTCTTGATAATTTTGAAGCGCCAGCAACTGATATACATAAAATAAACTCATTGTTTTGCCTTATAATATTGCTAATGCCGTTACATTTGTTACAATAATGAAATAAAACTCTACTTCCAAAAACTATCCGTTTTTTATCCCTTTAATTTTTGCCATAAAGTATGGTGCTACGCATTAAGCTTGCTGTCTCCTGTTTTGTGATTTAATGAAAGTGTACGCTGTGTATCTCTCTATTTGAATATATTTTATCATTAAATAAATAAAATAAAACATATCATGTTACTTGGGCAAGTTATCAGACCTCACTGATTTGTCATAATATCTTTTTTAGAAACATCCATCAGACGTTATATTTACCTTAGCTAATTTATAGCTCAATTAATAAATTTAATTTTATAGATGCTGCTCCTCTTTAACCAGTAATTTTTTCTTTTGCAACTTCTTAGTGGGTGTGTTAAGCTATTTTCTATTTGTAACACAAGATTTTTGGAATTTGATTTGAATCTCATGCATGTTTGTATTGTAATCAAGAAAATATATTTCTTGAAAATGAAGAATAAAAAGGAGTCATATATGTGAGCGAATGATCGTAGCAATTTTGCCAAACTTCAACGAAGAGTATAATTGACAATGAAATTGATTGGAATTTATGTTAGCCGAATGATCCTGGTAAACTAGGCCACAGAATGAAAGTAGGAGATATTGATGGTTTTTTTGTTATTTTAGGTTATTGGATTCGGTAATTTTTTTTTAAATGGAATCAGAAAATCCCCTCAGGTAATGTTATCATTTAAAATTTTCTTCAGTCATGGTTTGTATTTGCAGAAGGGATCTGAACGAAATCAACGAAATTCTAAAACTTGCAAAATTGAGGGAGCAAGATGTAATGCCCACAGCGCAAACGTTATTTTTCGCCGACGACAGAATTTACAACAATGAATACCGATTGCTGGAACTGAATCCAGAGCTATTAAAAGCAATCGAAGAAAAGCAGCCGCTTTGTATCAAAGGGAGTCATGATGAAGATGTGGTTATTTGCTCAGAGAATATAACTTTTCATGTTGTGGAAGCAGAAACGTCGAATAGCTTGCTACTAGTAGAACCTCTTAAGTTCGCTGAAGAAATTAAGAAATCCTCAGAGCACTTTGTGCACAAAGTAGAAATTGCAAGTATATTCCACAATTATTTGGAAGCCATTGTCAGTAAACCTTATTTAAGGAAACTGTACCAGTTGCTTAATGAAACTGTTTATAAAGGGCCAGAACGAGAGTATGAAATTGATCAAACCAAGTTGTATAGTTTGAGTGACTTAAAAGAAGTTATTCAGGCTTCCAATATGGAGCTGCAGCAAGCTATTGAGTCCATGGATACTGTGGTGATAGAAGGCAATGTGAGAGTTTTAGACTTTGAATACCATTTCCGAGTTCTCTCTTACATGCTTAAATTAATAGACAGTAACTCGTGGCCTCTGGATCAAATTGATTATGATGTAACTATTGAATCATTAGCAGAAATAGTGCCTACAGAAGTTGTTAGCGGTTTGTTTGAGAAATACACTGAAGCATCCAGAAAATTAGACCATGTTCAGCTCTATCGTTACAAAGAAGATAAAGTGTGTCAGTTTTTTGCTAAAGTTTTGTTGCGGGAGGCTGATGGCTTTAATTTAAACGATTTTCTGCAAGCATGGGGTGAATCTGTGCCAGAAGGCATGGTGCCAAATGAGGAAATGTTGTATGGCATTGCCATAATTGATCGAAAATCAAATCCCAACATTATTTGGGCCTTGGAAGAATCTAATTTGCCAGAGGATGTTACGGAAAGATTTAACTATTTATTCGATATCAAAGAGAAATGGAGTGTCCCTGAGATCACCCCATACATCAGGTAATGCCAAAGCGACATATTTTTGTAATTCCTAATGTTAATTCTTTGTAGACGGCTAGCAACTGACAAAATTGATGTAAATGCTTTACTTGCCAAACATGCTAGAGCGTCCAGAGTAGATGGAGTTAAGTATTACTCTGCTAAACATTTGAAATAGTAATAAATGTAAAAATAAAAAAAACTACTTTTTATATCTTTTTTGAAATATTTTATTGTATTCTTTGTAATGAATGTATTTCAACCTTTAGTAAACTACATACAACTGCTAGTGAGCAAATCAAATCATATGGTAAAATATCTCATCTAAGATGTCCTCTGCTGGTGGCACACCACTTAAGTTTTCTCTGACCTGGATAATTGAGAAAAGGGGTAGAATATAGTTTTGGTTAGTTTTCTTACATTCCCATATTTTTTTAGAAAATTGAAAAAATATATATTTTTGTGTGTGAAAGAGAAAATTTATTAGTAGGTAACAAATTTTATTGCAAGTTATTATCAATGTTTGCGGGACTATCTATTACACTTGTAAAAAACTTATGGTCAGGTGGGGTTGAATGGCAAATAGCAAAAATACTAGTTTTTCAGAAAATTGGTTCTCAAGATTTGTTATAAAATATTTGTGGTGTCCATTATACCTCAAGAGGCGATCGCATTTGTGTTCAGAAGAGAAAATGATATTCCATGCCTGCCTTTAAATTTTCTTTTGAAATGACATGCTCATGGGCTTATTCCTATATGTTGGGAAGTGATGTGTAGGTCCCTTTCCAATATTTTTTGATGTTGTTGGAAAAGGAAGGCTGATTTACGTTGGGTAGTGTATTGTTAGAAGTTCTAGAGAACTAAATATATTTCTTTTATGAAATTTGCTGTGTGGCCAAGTATACCTGCAGGATTACCAATTCAACTCGAAACAAACGATAATATTGGAAATTCAAATGGTATAGTATGGTTTCTGATTTTACTAAACCTCAATATATTTTTGAAAAAACACGGTTTAGCTAAAACATTTTTTCTTGGATTTGAATGAATAAAGATTATCACTCGTTTTAAAACTTCCTGCTCCATTTAAAACTGTATGAATTAGCATCAGAGTCTCGTGTTGGTCATTCAAACAAATGTATTAGTTAGCCCCTGTAACATTTTAAAATAGCTAGCTTACCTGCGGAAAAATAATATGCTGCAATAACACTTTTTTTTTCAAAAATGAATTTTGTTTTCTAAATAATAGAAAGAGGTAGTTAGATAGGTATAGGAGAATGCTAACAAAAGTTGCATGGAGTTCCATTTCAATTAACGCTGTTGGCTATTTTGAATTGGCATAACGTAGCAGGAGTATAAATATTTTAGAAAGTATGAGTATGGTTTATGTCCGCGTCTTTTTGCATTTCACAAATTTAATCTCCAGTTTATATTATCAAAAAGAATGCAATAAGTTTTATCAACAATGAGCGGGCGCAGAGGAGCAAGTGCTTAATAACGATTGCCCGAAGAGGTTTATAAACCTGTTGCATACTATTTCAAATATATTCGGAAAACCTTCAGTTTCACAAAACTCTTGACTAAAGTACCTGATTGCGACAGTGTTTAATGAAGCTGACGCTTCAATGTGATACTTTGTGCATACCTGATCAGTGTACCATTAGGTATTTTGGGGTAGGGAGTAGAATATTTTGTTAGACTTTATTAATGGTTCGACAGAAATATACCCTGAACTTCAGACAGACTCACTTGTTCCGCTTTTCGAAAAACCCTCACAAAATTTCGACCTGCCAACAGTTCTAAATTTCCGATTGTCCAGCGATTCGGGTCCAATTGTCTCAACACATCAAACAGCTGTGGATATTTGGAAGTATTTTCCAGTCCTTGCGGTGTACTGTAGATATAAAAACGTTTTCTGCTATAAGTATGTACCATGCGTGCAATTTATCTTGATAACAATTTTGTTTTTAAAAATATAAAGGTAAATAAAAAACAAAATATAGGGTTAGCAACATGAAATTTTTTAATGGAACATCCTGCATAGTTTATCGGTATTCAATAGAATACTTCATGTTTTCCAGAAATTGACAAAAATAGGAAATTTTCATTTAATTTCGTATAGTTCTGTGACTGACAATTAAAGTCGTCCTTACATTTCGCTAAGCGAAATTGATTAATAAGTTATTGACACAGTTATTATTGCTATTAAACTGCTATTTCGCCAGTTCATCATCCGTGAAAGAATAATATACACTATCAGAATAAAAAAAGGGTATAACTTCTGCAGAACGTTGACTTCGTGTTTTGAATGAAGAAAATATAACAAGTATATTAGGGTTGCTTGAAGCATATCCGCTTTGTTCTGTTGCCGCAGCCTAACAGAAGACAAGTATTTGTCGCAGTTCAATCTGCTGAGTTTTGATGGAGTATGCACTGTATATAAATTTGGTAAAACTTATATGCTTAGTAAAGAATGCGAAATGAGGATGCAGTATTGTTTGGAATTTTAAAACAATAATTTAAAAAATATTTTTTGTAGACCGTTGAACGTCCGCTTACTACCAGACAAAGCTGTAGTAGACAAAATACGCCATAGTGGTCTATAAATAATCGTACACAGATACATGAAATAAAAATCCAAGGGTAGCAGTCGGTCAATGTTTGATGTGGTGTTATTGACACACATATGTTGGGTCCTCTTTTGCTAACTGAAAAATTAACTGGAACACAAAATATCGGGATATCAATACAAACAATATAGCAAGAAGATGGTGCGCCTCACAATATAATTTGGGTCAAAAAATTTCGTTCTAAATATGGAATATCAATATAAGTTGACCGATTAGTAGCCCGGACTCGATATTATAGTGTATTATGCAAGTGCGTTAAAATTTCGGAAAACATCCCATTGCTCCCAAACTCGTGCGGTAATATACCGAAAATGTCCGAAGGGGTTCGGATACGTGGGACGAGAAACTCGAGTGGTAAAGTGACGTTTTTCGCATTCTAGATATAGGTATATAATTAGGTATTTTACAGAAGGGAGTAGAAAAACGGCATTTGACTCGAGCGGAGCGGAGCGCAGCAGAGCAAGTTTTGAATAAACGAGTGAGTTAAAAAGTTTACCGAACGTGTTGCATACTATACTTTTTCTACGACCGTTAGTTTTTGGATACATTTTCGCAAAAGAACACGAATACATTCACTAACATGACTGTCAGAATTGATAAACGTCAAAATTCAAGGCGTTCTACTCCCGTCCGTAAAATACCTAATTACCCACCGATCTAGCGTGCGGAAAGCGTCACTTTACCACGTCAGTTTCGTTTCCTATGAATCCGAGCCACTTCGAACATTTCCGGTATTTTACCGCACGGGTTTGAGAGCAATCGGATGTTTTTGAAGATATTTCTCACTTTTTGAATTTTGACGTTTGTCAATTCTGACGGTCATGTCAGTGAATGTATTTGTGTTGTTTTGCGAAAATGTTCGGTAATAGTATATTATGCAACAAGTGTGGTAAACGACATTTGACACGAGCGGAGCGCAGTGGAGCGAGTTTTTAATAAAGGAGTGAGTTAAAAAGTTTACAGAACGTGTTGAATACTATACTTTTTCTACGACCGTTAGTTTTTGGGTACATTTTCGCAAAACAACACAAGTACATTCACTGACATGACCGTCAGGATTGACAAATTTCAAAATTCAATGCGTGGGAAATATCTCCGAAAACATCCGATCGCTCCCAAATCCGTGCGGTAACATCCCGGAAATGTCCGAAATGACTCGAAATCGTGGGGAATAAAACTGACGTGGTAAAGTGACGGTTCCCGCGCTCCAGATCGGTGTGTAATTAGGTATTTTACAGACGGGAGTAGAAAAACTTTTTAACTTACTCGTTTATTAAAAACTCGCTCCGCTGCACTACACTATTTTATACACTTTACCACGTCAGTTTCGTTTCCCACGGATTCGAGCCACTTCGGACATTTCTAGTATATTATGCAACAAGTGCAGCGGAGCGACTGTTTAATGAACAAGTATTAATAGTATTAAAGTAGCTTGTGGAAGTTTCTTTGGAAAAAAAATGAAGCAAAGAACTTTTTTTTTGTTATGAGGCGATAATGTACCTAAGCGATAAACTGACCTATAGTAGTGTGAAAATATTAAACTTTATTCAAACTAGAAATTTTGCTTTTAATAAGACGCTCTATGGGATTCGTTCTGTGCAGTATAACAATGCGATTGATTTTTGCACTGTTTGTATTTACCTTGGAACTCCATCGAAATCAGCACCAATTCCCACGTGGTTTACTCCGATAACGTCCACAATGTGATTGATATGGTCTGTAAGATTTCGTAGAAAAAAATTCGTAAATTTTGTATATCAATTCTGTAACATTTATAATATATAATAAATACATGTTTTTCTTTGTTTTGCCGTTTGTTGACTTAAAATAAGCTGTCGGTCTTAAATATTTTTAAATAATCTTTCCATGACCAAAACCATTTTCCATTTTTTCTACGCAGAACACTTTGATGGACGTTCGTATGTCTAGTTCATAAAATTCCTCTTTTAACACTTTAGAAGATTTCAGGCAAAAATGGACATGCCTGTTAAGGAAAGAAGGTGATGTCCCATATTTTTTTATAATAATTTAGTTTAAATTCTTAAACTTTTTTTATCATTTATTAGTGATTTATTAGTAATTAGAACGGCCCAGCTGAAAAAATGTCAGTATCCAGTGCTATTTTCTTCTTCAAAGTACGGAGAAACGTCACTGGTAGAAATAAGAAAAAGTGCTGCACAAAATGCATATCTAGAAAAACTAGCACATTCAAAAATTGTTTCCCGAAAAGTTGACCAAATATTTTTACGTATTCAAAATTTTAGATAAATATACGTTAATAAATTGTCTTGATTATATTTCGTATTACCTATAAAATAAAGACTTGTTTTTTTAAAAATTGCGAGATGGTTTGTGAAATGCATATTTTTTTAATGTGACGTTACAACGAATTCACGTGCGTCTTGTACTACTTTCTGAAAATGAAAAGGTGTTTTTGGATATTGCTATTCCAAAGACTGATAGCAAAAGTGCCGTAATACTGTGCCAAGTACTTGCCGGTTTAAATTGGAAGTATCATTTCATGTAAACAAATCGAAGACCTGGTCATAGGCTGGTGTACTTATTTTCTTGTTTTGTGTATTAGTATTATCTATTCTAGATTTCCGAACAATTCACAATTTTAAAATTTTGTTATAATCTCACACGCCAATGATTTATTGCCTTCTGGCAATTATTTTCTACCTCCTTACGAGGTTACCATAGCCACCATTCATGAATTCATAAATATAAGTATTCATAAATGCATCAGTATTCGTGATTGGTAACTTTGTAATGAGTATAGATACAAAGTCGGTTCGATTACCTCACCAATCGTTAAGGCTGAGACGAACTTGTGGAACTCGGGGTTGTAGTAGTAATAAATTTTCTTTTGACCAAAAATGATTTTTCGATTATAAATTCCAGAACTTCAAAATTTTCATTCTTCAGTCCATAAAGTATACCGAAAATTATTTATGTTTTCGCTGAAAAAGTTAACATAGCAATGACAAAAAAGTCTTGTCTCTGCATTCCCTGCCAAAAGCACCTGAGCTTGTCGGAGTTTATAAGGGCAAACATATGCAGGGTATTCCATTTAAAAGGAGTGCATTTTCTTCATTTTTTTCTTAAACTCTGTTTTTCTGTTCTCACCATCGTAATCATATCTAGTCATAACAGAGTTACCAAGGAGTGACACTTAATTTAGATCAGACTGTATTTGCACATCTGTGGATACACCCAAATGATAAAAATGTTCACCTGATCTAAAGGCATTGTTATTTTTTACTTACAAGCAACATTCCGAATGGTCGCGTTGGGGCCCACAAAGTCAGTATAGAAATTGACCATTATTATTCCATCGTTTTCGGCCTGTAAGAGAAACAATTTCAGTTTGCTCACCAAATTGATATCCTGCTCACTCACCAGTTTAACCAATACGTCATCGTCTACGTTTCTTACGTGATCGTAAATTTTTCTGGCTGATGAATGGGAAAATATCACCGGCGCTCGGCTGATTTTCAGTGTATCCAGCATCACGTTTTTGGAAACATGAGACAAATCCACCAGCATACCCAATCTATTCATCTCCAGCACTATTTTCTAATAAACAAAAATCAGCCTAGCTAACTTAATTCACAGTATAATTTGACTAGAAAATATTTTATTGTTAAAAAAATTGTGATTTTATAGAGAGAAGAACTTTGTTTTTTCTAATTTGGGGTATACAGCGTATTCCATTGACCATTTCATCAATTAGTAGCCATGGATCCAAATATCTTGAAAATATCCGAATTTTGATACATTAGGGAATATCATTCTAGGTACACCTTTTTGTCTGAGATTACCCCAGATATTTCGCTCTGCTTCATAATTGATGATTTTCTCATCAGTTGTGTATGTGCCAAGGATACCTTTGGTTAGCAAATGCTAAGAGGATACCTTTCTTGGCATTTACCCTTTATTGTGACGACGATGATAGAGCGAAAGTAGAAACAACAGTAGCCTCGACATTTTTTTGCTTTGTTCAAAGTCCAATGCGTCTTACAATTGGAAAAAAAATCTTTTTGTAATTCAGTGCCATAATAATTTTAAATTTAATCTCATTAAAATTCTTCAAATATCAAAACTATAAAATATTAAATTTTACTATCGGTCATTGTTCTAAGTATTCATGAGTTACTTTGGAAGATTTTTCAATCTGTTTCTTCGAAGACATACATTTTTCAACAATACTTGACTGCTTGAATAATAATTGACTAACCAAAACTAATCAATACTGCGACAATTTGAAGTCTAACATTCGGATAAGAAATAATAATTGCATCAACGATCATTTTTTGATCCGTATAGTGTATCCGGTTGACCTAGGTCCATTATTAATAAAACATCATGTATAATTAAAATGAATAATTATGAGAAGTATTATATTATAAGGTGTCACCTACACACAACGTTACATTACGTTCTACGTAAGGAATTGAGATGAATAAAAATATGCTCACCCGTCCAAAATCTGATAAATTGTTTTTTGGTGAACCTTTGATGTCGACCGTAGCCGAATCAGCCCTGGAAATATAATGATGATTGATGTCCAGAGAACATTTATACCCACCCGCTTAGTTGATACCCACCATCTTAAATCGCACGTGTGCGTCAGAGTTAGGTATCTCACCCCTAGGTCGTAATACGCACGAAGGACGGAGAGTTTGTTGTCGATGGAGTGACCCCCTTCCACGCCTATGAATGACGCTATTTTCTTTTCTTTAAACGCTGCCGCTATATCTGAGATAAATAATTTTATATTATACAAAAATATACACGGTCTAGAATGGGGGAAGACTATTTTTTTTAAATATGTACATATTTTTCAACCAAGTGAAGTATATCATTTAAAATGATAAGCGTTATTTTAGAATTTTCAGTGTGATTCAGAAATGAGTTTGAATAAAAAACAACTCGTGTATAAATTACCCAGTATAATGTTTGTAAATCTGGTTTAGGTTAATAAGTAATGTACAATGAAAGCAGAAAAATGTTTAATAAAATCTCTTGCTAAATATTACTAAAAATGTACTCAAAATTTTTCCATGTCGTTTGAAATTTCGAATAATCTGCGGGGTAGATCACAGACCATCTATGATTTAATTCACTGTCAAGAAAAAAGTAAGTTTTTGATTGACGAAACTTTGAATTAATCTTAATCAAAAAATTGGAATGGAAGCGTGGCCATCTGGAAAAAGATGAGTGATATGTCTATAGTATAACCATACCGTCGCTGGAAGTTGCAAACACCAAATCGTTTGGGTACTTTCTGATTAATCTTTTGATTACGTCAATCTGTTCCAACGTGTTGGACACCGGGTTTCCGGGATTATTGCAACTAATATACGCCGCCCAAAACTGTAATCGTCAAAATATTAATCGAATATTAACTAAATTCGAACCCTCAATACTTGGGCCGACAGTCGACCTTTCCGTAGCTTCTGCAAATCCGTATGGCACATGTCACATTTAGAAAATGCGACCTGTTTCCCAACGTCGCTTTCGAAATCAAAATCGGTTATTTGGTTTTTCAGGAACCGGTTTAGGTTGTAGGCCAGGTCGTTGTGGCTATAAAAATAAAGCGTATTTTTGCTAAGAAAATGCATTTTTAAGTCGAAAATGTTGATAGAAGCACCTTCATAATTTAAAAAAACTATTAAACGGGATTACAAAGCTTATGTTCACAGAACCGAAATAGGTCTGAGGAGTGAGACGAAACATTTTTGGTCTTTTGTTTCAACTAAAAAGAAAAAATAACAAGCATGGCCATAAGTTGAATTGTTTAATCTTTATACATGTGTGGGAATCTGTACAATATCCACTTTATCTGTTGTATTATAAATGTCTGAACTGCGGAGTCTTTCCAGAAAGTGTGCTCCGGTTATCCCAATTTTCCATTCGGAGGAGGGAAGTTCACTGGTTCAGTGGTAGTTTCTCTTCTGCACAATTTCGGTAAGATCTTCGAATCAAGTAACTCAAGAATTGTTCCTTTTCTCAAGTGGTCACTTGCCTGTGGTACAGCATAGATTTTATAAAAAGCATTCAGTACCAACCTAGTACCATACATAAAATATTTTGATTTCGTTTGATGAGAGAGAGGTTAAGAAATTAGACTTTTTGGGTGTGCACGGATCACTTTTGGCTCTATTGGCCTCTTATCTATCAGGACGTACTTAGCCTTAAATTGTTACTTCTCCAGTCGCGTGTTATTTACCTCCGGTGTGTCACATTTTTCATTTCTCTAAATTCTTTTTTCTACTCCCTTCTCTAAAATACTGGAAGCCTCACTTTACCAGGTCAGTTTCCAAGCCATTCCGGGATTTTACCGCACGGGTTTGGAAGCAATCGGATGTTTTGGGAGATATCTCCCACGCTTTGAATTTTTACGTTTGTCGATTCTGAGAGTCATGTCAGTGAATGTATTCGTGTTGTTTTGCGAAAATATACCTAAAAACTAACGATCGTAGAAAAAGTATAATATGCAACACGTTCGATAAACTTTTTAACTCACTCGTTTATTAAAAACCCGCTCCGCTCGTGTCAAACTCGCCGTGTACCGCACTTGTTGCATAATATACTCTTTAAGTATAAATACTCCCACAGGTTCATTGTGACCTTGACCGTTGGTTCACTACTGCAATTGAACGCGGAAAAGTGCAACTCAAACATTATCTCACGTGCCAACACACCACCAAAAAGGATCTTTTCGTTGGGGGTATGAGAATATCTTTCGTTAATACCATTAAAGACTTGGAAGTTTATTTAGATTTTAAATTGAAATTCGACTACGAAAACCATGGGGTCAGTTACTGCTGTTGTTACAAACTAGCAAATTGATAGTGCGACCAGTTTTAGAGTTATCTGCCACGATTTGGAATCCTTTCTATGTAAAGTATGAAACTTGAAAAAGTTCAAATAAAAAATGATTAATTGGTTAAGGCTTTCGCGGCCCGTTGATAAGCTATTATCTTGATTCGGGTTTAAAGGCCGTCGTCGGTTGGAATTACTTCCCAACGTTTCGCTAGCACGTAGTCTACGTCCAACATCGGAGATGGAAGGACCTCTGAAGAAGCTCGCCACTCGTGCTAGCGAAACGTTAGGAAGTAATTCCAACCGACGACGGCCTTTAAACCCGAATCAAGATAATAGCTCAAAAAATGATTAATTTAGTAAATTACAAGTTTAATAGAGTTCGCCACAATCGAGTTTAGGCAGTTTTATAATTTGCTTTTGCTTAAACAATCAAGTAGACTGTAATGATGTAATGTACAGGTTGTCTCCCTAAATTGCTGACCTGTCATGCTTCGTAGTAGAGATAATTTTGTTGTGGATATAAGTAAGATCAAATTATTTGTTCAATTTGCCACTATTTCGTTGGTGTAATAGTATAGTCAGTAAGCACGATATTTTCCATCAGTTTTGGACATTTTAATCGACTGTTAACGGTAATAATGTAGAATTTCGTTTTATTTCTCTAGTTTTATAAGTTTGTGCTGTGATCATCTTAGTATATAGTTTAGTTATATTGTGCTGCCTTATAATTGGATATTCCTTATGAAAATTTGTCAGGTGACCTATCTTGCCTTTGGCTTCATATTTCAGAGGTGTCGCCCACAACAAATATTAACATAATATAATATAATATAATATATAATATAACATAAGACCAAAAATACTGATAAAACACATTTCACATAAAAACGTTCATTAGATTCCCAATATCCAAAAAAGAAATAATTCGAGAATAAATTTAATCATGTATTTTGACTATGACATCACCCCTGAAAGTTATCCAAGCGTACGCAAACGCAAGCCAAACCTAATTTGGTCATTTTCGAAACAAGAATTGTTTCCTCATATTTGAGTTTTTTCAATGGTAAAATTTATAATTTATGATTATGACAGAAATGTTACCATTGATGAGTTTTCGCCATGAAATTTTCATAGACATTAATAAATTTTGTTAAAGACTTGGAGGTACTGGTTATGGAGTAAAAATTCTAGCAAAATATTTGAACTTTGAAGCCGAAAACCCTTGTTCAAAATTAATGATCCAGAAAATTGTTGTAATTATGTGTTAGAAAACATTTATTTTTTAATTAACATGTGAAGAAGCTTGTTATTAAGTTTTGGATGGTTGCCTAAGGTAGGATTCTCTATTTCAAAAAAACAACACCCTCTGACCTTTGTAGGTTAATTAAGGCAGGTACATGATGCCTAACTAGTCTTTTTTTTATTTAAGTCCGGGTTACGTGAGGACATTCCAAGTTCCAGATATTGATTTCATTTAAGTAATACAGCAGTTTTTGCAATGTGGGGCCTTATTTTAACATCAGGGGATATGTATCGGTCTAGTTTAATCTAAATTACAATATGGGGTAAGCGAACGTACCTGTACTCTATTTATCTTAAAGGTAAGTTTGAAAATAATCATTTTTATCGTGTGTGTCTGTCGATTAACGATCCTTCTTATATTTTTGTGTCTTCTATATAGTTCTTCGATTTGTAAACAACAATCTTTTTTAAGACTATACTTTATATTGCCGTAGATAAAAATACGTTGTAAGTATACAGATAAATATTTATTAGAATCTTACAATTAAACATTTTTTGAAGGTTCTTTTTTTTTAACACTTTAAAATGTGGAGACCGTGGAATGAAGCAGATGTTCCTCTGTTAAAAGACTTGGAAAATAAGCGGAATTTGAAGGGGAAGTGGAGATGGTAGTTAAACCTAATGATAGTTTAGAAGACGAAATATCTCAGCAAATAAAAATACGGATCCATTTGCCTTCGAATGCTAAACAAATTGTTTTGAATGTTTGCAATTTTAGAAGAAATTGAGAAGGGGAATTAGGAACGTCAATAAAAACAAATGACATAGAACGTAATAAATTGTTACTTTGTATGAATTTTTTTATGTACAGGAATGGTTACGGGTAAGCGTCTACTAGGCAGGGTGTTCTATAAGGGGCTGCGTTTTTGGAGTAATAAACAGTAGGGAAAGTTAATCACGAGGTCGGTTATAAAAGCGCTATAATTCTGGTCTAAGTATAACAGAGAAGGCATAATAACTTTTTTAACTATATTAGTAATTATTTTCAGCGGCTTAATGAAAAAATAAAGTAAGGGGAGGCTAAGGTCAAATGCCGATATATTCATTATAATAAAAACATAATTTTCCCCTATTAAACCATTGAAAATGATGTTAAGTATTTGAAGGCGATTAAAAAGAAGAAGACAGTTTAGAAAAAATTCTTTGTGTAATACCAGCCCAAGAAACTCAAATATGTTTCTTACGGTTTTTTTATACCACAGAAAATACAAAAATAGCTCACCCGTCGATCAAGGGATAGTTATCCAGAGCATCGCTGCCAGACACATCGGCATCACCGTCTAGCGAGTTTTCGTCTGAACCTAAAATTCGTTTTTCTCATTATGAATAAGGTTCGAACCACCGAGAGTTTTACCACCCGACAGAACGGCCGAAAATGATTCCACCCCCAAGACCCAAAGGATACCGAAAGCCGTAAGGCGGTCCATTTTGCCTCACGCAACAGGGACGCGCCTGTGGATGAGAAAAATTTAATTTTAAAGTGTTTACGGACGGTTTTCTAATCTAAACGATAAAGAAAAGCGGTCATAGGGTCACGCTTTGATAAATGGTTTCGTTTTGTTCCTCAAGTTCGTCTCGCCACAACAAGCGCGACTATTTTGGCGGGTTTTAAAAAATATACAAACCTACAGGGGCATCTACTCTATGCAATAAATACATCAAACCGGATTTGTAGCAACAAAAATAAAAACAATAGTTCAAGCTTAATTTAATCGAAGTGTATCTACCGCACTAACAAATTGCAATTCACCTATATATTTAGTTATTTATCTATTAAAATTGGGATAGAAACATGTATGAAAACCCAGCACATCCATTACAAAGGCATCTAAATACTACTGCAAAGTTCTTAAGTTGATCTGGTTAATTATACTACACATAGAATGTTCTAAAAAGGGTTTAGATTAAGTAATATGGTAATACACATGAGTTGCAAATCTATCAAAATGATATAACAATATATATCTGTAGAGCCATGCATTCGGTTTCTTTAGCCTAGTTTATTTTTTTAGTTATACCTTTCACATTCCAGGCTTCCGCATTCCATTTATCATTTATCCATTTTTTTTGTGTTAATTTGGTGACTGAATCGGTATAAATCTAGATTGATAAAAATCGTGACACATAGCTGGAATCCGCATAAACAGAAATAACAGAAAATGAAGACGACTACAACAATTATGTGATCAATATTGAAAATTCAACAGAGGAAACAATATAAACAATAAAGTTTTGGAACAAATACAATACTTTCAATATCTAGGGTGCAACATTTGTTATGCTTATATATTTGGAACAATCACAAGAACGTTAAAGTACAAAACCAGAAAAGAAGCACAATTAAAACTATACTAAACTGTTGCTGTGCGAATTCTTACATATGGAAGTGAGATATGGACAACGACAAAGCAAGAAGAAAGCAGAACAGGCCCAAGAAGTGTAATTTTTAAGAAGGGTAAAACGCTGTAGAAGAAGAGACCAAATATTAAATGAAAACATGAGAAAAGAACTTAACGTCATAAAAGATTAAAGATGACAGAAAAATATGGATGAGCACCGAACAAATACCTCAAAACAATTATACCTGCCCAGACTGCCGAATGTTAGGTAAAACACGGAAAATATGGATGTATTAACAGGCATTAATGCCCAAAGTGAAAGTGGAGATGATGATGTAAATTTATGTGACATGAATGTGACTTTTTATTTGTATTAAACCGTTGATTGCTACGGCAATTTTCAGAAAACTGGCCAAAATGATAATTCGATTTTATCATATCACATTATCTTATTAAAAACTCTTTTCTAGTCTATAGGTATCATCAAAAATCATGTTTTTTAAGGGCTTGTGAATTATCTCGGAGTTGTTTTTTTTTACTGTATTTTAATGAATTTTCTTTTCCCAGAAGCCATCTATCGAAATTAGCACTTTCTATATTGCGTGTTTAATCGTAGCTGGACAAAAATTGCAAGTAAACACAGGACGAGATAACTCGTAGTTGACGTCGCAGTCTACAAGTATCTCGTAGTTGGCAGTCAACGTGTTAATTACTTAAAAAAAATCGCCGAGAAAAATTAACTTTACAACGAGGATATCCATGGATATCTAAATTTGCAAATCGCCAGAATTATCTTTAGCCGTTTTTCCAATATTCACTTTTAAATGTTATGTGAAATTACTAAAACTTAAATAAAAAATCTATAAAGTTTTAGTAATTTCACCTAAGCAAAATAATACAAGTTATCGGAGTTTGATAGATTTGCACCTTATTTTTTTGTAATCTATAATTATCAAAAGATAACAGATAGAAAACCCTTCATTTTTCGCATTTAAAGTTTTTTTCTAATTCTTTAAAATAGGGCTGTAGATATGGTGCAAACTAATCAACACCCTGCACATATAATAGATTATTCGTTTTACTCTCTATTGGAAAATAAAAAGTGGAAAATTTCATTATTGCAACCCACCTTCCTTAACTTCACGATTATTTTATTTTTCAGTTATAGTACGGTTCCGTCCTTTTAAACTACCAAGAGGAAATATTATTATTTTCCTTTTGTTGCGTTTTACATTTTCTATTGCAGTTTTATTACTTTTCCCTAAAATTCTAAGAGCGTTAATATTACCCGCCTCCTAGGGCAAAAATTGAGATCATCGTGTAGCTCACGGTGGCGCTGGTAAATACGGTTCCCATATGTACTAGAAATTTACAATTATTTTTTTTTATTAGTGTTAGCAACCGTAACACATATAACATATGTATATCTATACTATATAAATAATTCATTAAAATCACGTAAAATATGCAAAATAAAAATGACTGGAATTGCTGAACAAAATGAAGTTTATTAAAAATTGAAGATAGTTGGTATAAAAACATCAATTTACTTTTGGCTGGTTCAAAATAGACACAATTAGCAAAGACAGAAAGTATTCTTTTTCAATTCCGTAAACCATTTTTTTAATAGTTCCGTTAGCGGCTTTCTTAAAAAATACTTTTTTTTTGCCCTGAATATCTATGACAAGTTATATTTTTTGAGAGAGCTGTAGGCCATTTCCTTACTTATTTGAACACCCTTGATTTTTTGATGACCTTTTGAAAAATGGTGCACGCTAAAACGATAAAGTCTATCAATCAAAAAAACCACTTCCTTACCACGGAATTAATGCGGTAACTAAAACCCATCGTTTCATTCAATAAACAGTTATTAGAGTGTTAACACTGCTTACGTTATATTTTATGAAATACCTACCAGTAAATAGCTACCGACAGCTAAAAAGAAAAATAGCGAAAAATCGGCTTTGCGTTTTAGAAAACTGTTTATTGAATAAGTTTAAAGAAGCCCGCTGTGCATCTTTTCGGTTGCAGTGACGGCCTGGCTAATTGGCAACCCTCCCTACCTGAATCCATTGGGTTAGACATTAAAACAATTTTATTGGATATAGAAGACGTCGTATTTAGTCCTATTACTTAGTCACTCTTGAGAATAGTTAAAATAAAATAATTAAAATACGCTTACCTTAAAAAAAGTTTGGAAATAATATTACCTTTTAATGAAATAAATAAAAAACATGTGAAATATATAAAATAAAAATGATTTGAAAGGCTCAACAGAATTGAGTTTATTAAAAATATTAAACAAATAGGTGGCATACTTTGAACACAGTGTATTCAACGTAATCAATGTAAATCAATTCTGTAAAAAGTATTACAATGACTGGCAAGGAAATATATTGATGTCTAATTAGACGAACCATTAAAAATAATTCCGGTGGGTGGGTGTGCGCGTGGGTGCATAAACTAGGATGCTGTCTCGTCAGCCCCTGCACTTGGTGCACTGACCAACCGAAGATGGTGTACAGTAACTCAGCATGAACAATGCAAAAATTCCTGCTGGTGACGACGCGTTCCTTTGTGTAAACAAAACCGCAGCCTACTGGTTCGCGGTGTTAAAAAATAGCGATTAAACATTTCCTCTTGGCCAGCGGGAATGTCGATATAAACTCGGAAATTTAGTTAAAATCTGGCTGTGACGATGACGCCCAACTCAGCGTTTGGCCTTCTGATTGTCGCTTGCGGATGTATCGTCATTACAGGTGAGAGAATTGCATAAAAATTAAGCAACTAATTTCGATTTGTATCACAACTAACAATAAATATAATATAATTAAATGTACTAAAAAAATATGCCGTTATTTAAACAAAAATTGCAACCGTTGCACAGACACAAATGGGAGACATCCTCTATGTTTATTCTAACACCTAGAGCTTGCTGACTCACTTGCGCACCCGAAATACTTACGTAAAAAAAATCTGTGGATATAGAGTTGTTCTGCCTTAACAAAAGTTATTTAGACTTTTGTGAAGTATCCAAATCTGTAATAAAATATGCCAAAATATTTCTAAAATATGGATTATTTCATATTTATTGCCCTACGCTAAAACCGAAAATATTAATTAATTAATAGTAATTAATTAGTAGTTAATCTAGGGAAGATATTTCATAATGTATAGTTAATCGTTCCCGTTCAAAAGGTCATTTTAAAAATCTCAAATAACTATTATTAATTAATTATTCTGTAAAATGGGTGTTATTGTAAACAGTAAAATTTATCAGAGTCTATCAGACAGACAGAAAGGGAAAGAAGTATAACCGACATTGTCGAAGAATGTGCTTACCAGATAAAAAACTAACAGTTATATTTTTAACTATTAATTTTTATTCCAAAGCGGTCAAAAAATGGAAAATTTAATAACTTTTTAATTTAATGTCTCATGGTCAATGGAATTTATAAGTTTTGAAAAAATGGGAGGTAGACATTTGATGAAAATTTGATTAGTCACTAAGATTTTTGACTCTGCTCTGTGAAATATTTTCAGTATCGCTAGTACTTGCTCACAACAATATAATAATACATTTCCCCTATATTATTTTATTATGTTTACCTATACCTAATTACCAATTTATATATTTTTTGACAGAAATATAGACCCGAATTTAAATTCTTTTGATGGGATACTTAACCATTTAGAAAACTGAAATTATTACAGCAGTAAACTTATGGAAAATGAGAAAACTAAATAATTTATATAAACTGCTGTTGTGAAAAAATGTGTCGTTTTACTAATTTACTAGTTTTACTACTTTGGTAGTCAAATAATATTTATTTTAATTTCTGTCTCGTCTTCCTTCTGCTATGTTAACTCAAAATATCAGAATGATGAGAAATTGGATACACACACAAGTTCATTTTAAGAGGTAACAACTAACTTTCTGTAATTAATGATTTAATTTAAGTATAAAAAAATGTATTTTCCATGGACACCCTGTATTGCTTGCTAATAAAAAACTAAAATTAAAGATTGACCTGCCAAATCTTCTGTTACTTCCTCCCAACAGTCAACTGGTGCTCCATCGAGAGAATACCAAGAGTTCCTGTATCTTTCCGGTGGAAGCTTGTTCAAAAAATCAATCAGCCATACGTAGAATTTCGAGACATTTGACCGGCATTTGTCTTGAAGGAAATCAAAACCGTTAAAACTAACTTTCCTAATAGCTGTTGGATTCTTGTCAGCCGAAAGCTGCTCATATCTTCTATTGAAGATACCTTCTTCGTTAAAAAATTAGGATGTTTTTGGTTTTGGTTTTTCGGTAAGGATGCCTTCGTCGAAGTTTAATTTGTTTTAACTCTTTTCTTTTAATAATTTGTATGGATAAATGCTATGATTGTGAAGAATTCTTTTAATAGAAGCATGAGTTAAGTTCAAGTCTTGTTTTGCTCATACTTATACATAATTATTTGAACACAGTGCATGCAGATTTTAATTAATATGGCAGTAGATAAGCGTAAAAATAGCCTAAGGGGTTTATATTGTTGCCTTCCTCTCCAGTTACGGACTTGGTTACGGAGAGGTTTCCTAGAAGTTTATTGGAATAATCTGCTTCTGTTTTCATTATTTTTAATCACTTTTGGAGTAATAATTAATAAAAAAATAACTTCATCATGTGACATGTTATTTTATGGCAATCTAGCTAGCGAATAATATGTCGAAATAACTCGATTGTTATATCGAAAACCTGACCATTTAGGTGTAAATGATATACATATAAAATCGTGATTTTACCACCTTACACAAAATTGAAAAAAGTCAAATACAAAATTAAATTAATTAAGTTACCAGAATATTCAATATTACATAGACTGCTCCATTTGGAAAATGTGACTTTTTTAAAATTTTGTTTTAAATTAATGAAATTAGTTAGGTAACAGAATATTAAATATTAAAATTGACTTTTTGTATAAGACAGTCAAATTACGATTTTCTAAACACCCTCTAAACCGCAGCTACAGCAAACTAGTGTTTAGGATTTTGAAAAATTGCAGCCATGCAACGACAAATTTCTACACCCCATTTTCCCAAAACGTCTAATATTTTATTGCCCGTGAGGCACTGAATATTTTATATAATTTAAATAGTAGTTGAAAAGTTTGATACAACAGTGAGCTTGCATCCTAATTGATAGAAATTGGATCAGGGTTGATTTAGAATATTAAAAGAGAAAATAAGATAACCAATTAATTTTTAGTATTTATGTTAAGTATTTGGTGTCATTATAAAAGCTGGCGAGTATAAAGAACAGTTGAAAAGTATATTATAAAAATCTGTGATTTCTGTTAAAATTTCTACTCTTTAGTAGCTTTTCATGTAATAACCTCTAATATAGAATATCTCTAAATAGAATATAATATAATAATTTCGGGGATTTTGATAATAAAATATATAACATACCGGGATTTATTATTTTCTCAATTCCATACTCTAAAACACCCAATTATAATTAAAGTGTTATCTTAGGACATCAGTTTCACTGAAACTACGAACTTTTTCGGTCCTTTAGTCACGAGTTTGGGAGCGATCGGATATTTTCCGAATATTTTAGCCATGTTTGTCAGTTCCGATGGTCACGTTTCACGTCACGTCAGAAAAGAAGAAAAGTATAGTATGCAACACGTTGCAAAGGGGCATTTATCAAATTTGTTGCATGTTTATACTGTTATTACAGAAAATAAAAATCTGTTGAATTCACTTCAACAGTACGGACTTTTATCGATCGAACATAAGAGATAGGTAGATATTTACACTTTTGTTTATCTTGGGAACCAGGGCAAACGACTTATTGATTACGGAATCGTTTTATCAACCAAAAAGTTACTAATGTACTAATAACTGCTTAGGTTGTATTTAATAAAATTTCATTAAATTATATAAATTAAATTAAATTAAATTAATTATATAAAAACGTGCGTTGTGTTTTAGAGATTTTATATTGTGAATCATTGAGATTGTATAGCTAATAAAGAGTGATTGATCTTTTTTTATAGAATCCACCATCTGCAGACCAGACTCGCTGTTCAAAGTGGATTGCAACCTTTGCCAATGTGATAGTTCCGGAAAGAGGTACACCTGTACAGAAAAAAGATGTCCGGTAAGTTTAATTTGTAAAGTCTTCTCATAATCTTTCTCTCTCACTTTCATTCCACCTTATTCCCTGTTTGTCAATGAGATTAAATGAGTGTTGATGTCATAAAGCAGTTGTGAAAATCTAATTCCTTGCCTTCAATTCAATCAATTGAATTCAAATGAAATTCTGAAGAACATCAAAATGCAAACACATAGAAAGTTTCCATTGGTACAAATTTTCTCAGATTCATGCTGGATACATCTGGTTAGACTTTTTCTGTTCCTATTCTAATCCGTCCATACGTTTTATAGCTAGAAAAATATTCTTGATCTTCATCTATTTGTATGTCAATCTTATGTCAATTTTTCACAAATACATGTATCTTCATGGCTACCTTACACTTACGGCGCTGTCAAAATAACTACATTTTCAACAACAACCTTACCATTTAAGTCCAATAGGAACATGAAACGGGGTATGTAAATTAAGTAGACTGACTTTTTTTGAAATCCTCAAAATGACGTCCTTCTGAAGCTACCCAGCCCTGGAAAATGGCTCTTCTACAGCGGTCCAGGCACTCGGAAACTGGAACATCTTTCAGCTTGACGGTTACACAGGCAGTTGCAAATTTTTTAACTTCAGGAAGCCAAAAGTCGCAAGGGTTCATTTGAGGCAAATAAGGAGATTGAGGTACCATAGATATGTTTTTTCTGAGTGATAAGGAGCATTGTCATGGTGCAACACCCAGTTGTTCTTCATGGTTGGTCTCACACGAATGACCCTCAAGAACCTACCGGTGTGTTCATCATGCATTTGATCTTCGACTTCCTTATTACTGCTTTTTGGTGACGTTGAAGTGTGCCACTCCATGCACTAGCGCTTTGTTTATGGGTTGATTCAAACAAGACTTGTCAGAATAATGACACGGTCTAGAAAATGCGAATGGTTTTTGAAACCATTTTTGAGCAGATTTTTGTCATCCCCAATTCATTTGTCACAATCTGATGAACGGTGGTGCAACTTAAATTCAACTCCTGTCCGGTCATTCTCTCAACAGACGATTTGAACGCACAAGATCCCGGATTCTGTCGACATCTTCATCGATTCTTGAAGGTGGTTTATCTTCAATCGACTCTCTTCCTTCTAAAAAACCTGAGCTGTGCTGTAGGCCTACTGAAGTTTAGCAAGAATTTTCCGTTACACTGTGTCCAGTTCTGAAGAATAACCCGATAGAAATTGATGTCACTCATTTTCAGAAGACAATAAAAATAATTGTTTCGTAAAAAAATCGCGACGGACGACCAAATGATTCGAGGTAGTTCAAACCCATACTGAGGACGAGATAGACGGCTATGTTGCTAGTCTCGTTAATTAATTTACAGACCTCGTAAATGAATTGTAAGCACTTTTCATTATCTATCGGAATATTTCATAACAGGATATTTCATTTTGAAAAAATGACTTTTCGCATATTTTGTCTAAGGCCGAATATTCAATTACCTCAGCAATAAGAATTTAAATTGTGGTCCATTTAAGCCGGAAAAAATGTAAAATAATAAATATCTTCACAACCTCTGGAAAATATTTTACAAACATGATCAGAAAGTCATAGCGGCTGGAAAAATGAAACAATAGACTGTTTTCTCAAAACGTCTAATGCTCCAACGACATTCAGGCCCGCCTGTATACTGTTGATTCTTAATCATCGCTACATGTTTTTAGCCCAAAAATTACGAAGATTTTGTTATTGAGATCGACAAAGATCAGCGTGTGGTCTTAAAACCCAAACCTACCCCGACGCTCAAGAAATTCGATTTAGACGATGAATTCCTGTTTTCTCGGAAATTCGACCTGTCCAATATGTTTCATCCTCTGGGATTGAGAAAAGACATGGGTGTAGTCGAGAACAGCGCAGAAAAGAACAACGAAAAACGCAATACTAATGACATATACATTTGAAACGTTTCAATGTAAAGATTTGATATCAATTAATTTTAAATATATGTAATTTTATAAGTTTTTTTCAAAAACAAAATCTTTCATTTAATCGTCCATCATAAAATATAAAAGTTTAGAATTTTGAACAAATAGATTTGGCGACCGTAATACAGGAAACAAATGCTTATTGGTAGTTGTCAAATTGTGATTTTTGGCTGTGAAATTCCGTAATCGATTACATTTTTTCAGAAACCAGTGGGAAAAATCTATGAAGCATCCAAGATCATGGCTTTTTCTGTTGTGGCGTAATTTGTATTCGTTATTTTTAAAATTTTTCTAACTTTAGTTCTTTCAATTCCGTGTAACTATCTTTCTTATTTAATGTATACTTTTTTCAGCTTTTCTTCTGAAACTAACCGCTGTTAACTAGGTGGTTGAAAATAATTCCCGAGAGGGGCAATAAATCAATGGCGTTTGAGATTAAATGTAACAATAATATAACATATAAATAAACAAATATGTCACAGTTTTAGAAATAATGCAAACATCTCAGGGTCCTTTGCAAGTCTACACTAGACAATACTAAGCAAAAATCGAGGTTAAAAAATTCTCTATATTAGCGTAAACGTTTATTCGTTGTAACATTGCCACATTAAAAAAAGGCATTTCTTACAAATCATATCGCCATTGTTAAAGAAAATGTTTAAAGAAATATTAGCAAGGTATTTTGTTCACGCATGCTGAATAAGATTTTTAATTTACATATACCCGTCGATGTCTCAGCTCGTCAATATATTTCCATCGCGTTAAAATGGAGACTATGCCATCTCTCTTGATTATACATCAATCGTGAATTTGACGATTCATTTTGTACGGGTATTCGTATGATCGATTTTCGTTAGGAGCGCCGAGTTTATTCTCTAATTGGGGTGCGTGTCGGCTGGGACGTTTATTGCCGCATATATATCCGTTTGGTTTAATATTAACAATAATTGTTCAGCTCCCAGGAGAAGCACAACGTGAGCGGATGCTGCCCAGGACTGATTACCGCTAACCACAGCGCTAATTGCGCCTGACTAGATGCAGAATTTAAACTGCGAAATTATCATTGACGCGGATCCATAAGTTGCGAGCGTTAAACGATAAACGTGTTGGAAGCGTTAAGCGTCAAGTTAGAACGTCAACTGCAGGTATTCGCGAATTTATTCTTCGATGGTTGCACCCCTAACAATAAATATTGCGCACTTTGCCATTTGGAATTATCTATTTCATAATATTACCTGTAAACCTATGAGTAGCGTTAATAAAGCATTTTTCTTTATCAGCTTTTGTAGTGTTTTGCTCGTTTATGCAAACTGATGTACGATGAAATCCTTTTTTATCCCATTTAAAGTGTCTGCAAGTAGGAGTTTTGTAGAAGGGGAAGTATTATTAAATGCAGAATATTAATTTTTTAATTGAGTCTCCTTCAAGAAGCGATGACGTCAAGGACATTTACATGTGCTTTCAAGCTAGCAACATTTCAAGCACTACCTATAAAATTAAGGGTCAATTAAATATTGTAATGGTTGGTAAAGCGTGTTCGGTAAGCTCGAAACCAAACTATTTTTTTAAAGCAATTACAAAATAAACCATATAACGCAAACATGAAATTCATATGACAATAATGCCGCGATTCCAAATTTTACCTTCGTTGATGTCTCATTGAATTATAAAATCGTCAATATCATTTGATACTAATTATGATTGGTGTCTCCATCTATTGTGCGCCCTTGTATGTCTGGCAAATTACTTCCTTTATTGTTTTTTAAAACTTTACGCTTTTATTAGTGTGGGAAGTTAGCATTATCACTCGAAAATGTTTAATGATTTATCAGCGCATTAGTTATCGTTTCATAGTAAACTTGTGAAAAAAATGTTACTCAGCCTTAAAAAAATTCCTTAGAAATGCTAACTTCACGCGCAAATTAGCAGCAGCATCCTTACAACTTTCACTTTCAGAATATTTTGTACACAAATTTTGTGCAACTTTTTTTGTCATAAAAGAAAAAAAATTGTCGCGAAGTGTTTTATCTTAAATCCTTGGTACGAAGTTAGCTTTTTTTTCTTTTGCGACAAGAAATTAATTATTGCATATATAAACCATTAAAAAGTTGCAACTTCGAACTTCCTATAAGTAATATATTATGAAACAAGTTTAATAAACGCAATTTTAGTTACGAGATTCATTTAGCAGAAGCGAGGGCTTAATAAACGAGTGGCTGTAGGGGTGTATCAACATGTTGCATGCTTTATACATATATAAGTCCATTAGTTTTTGGGAACATTTTTGCAAAACTTTACGAATACATTGACTGATCGACGTGTGACGTGACAATCAGAGTTTCTCAAACTCAAATTACCAAGATTTAAATCTACCTACAACATCCAATCACTCCTGAACCTGTGACAAAAGTACCGGACGAGCGATACTTATTTAAAGGCTTACGAGATGTGAAAGTCTATAAGTAAACATCCTCTGAGGATTCTTTGATGGATTTGTCGTCAAAGGTGCAGTACGTTGTGTGTGGAAAGTACCAATGTAATCGATTTCAAAGTTAAAATCACGATCGATGTGGCTTGAGTCTTTGGCACTACCTGGTGTCATTTGGAGTAAGTTCAAGATTATTTCTTGATTTGATTATCTCTTAAAAATATTAAAGCGATCATCGATACTCAAATTTTAGGCAGAACTTGCCTGTATCTGTTACCGTTTCCGAGATACCAATGGCAAATTTGGAACACCACGTATTTATGATAAATATTTTTTAAATATTTATGCAATTTGTAATTAACACGACATGTTCGGGAAACACCTTTATGTTTTTAAATATATAGAAATAATGTACCAACTTTTCCGACGTTTATTGAAAATTGTTATAACTTTCTGTTAAGGTGAAGGCGCGAGCCATATTCGCGTACGGTAAAAATTGATGGGCTCTGGCTGCTATGATATTTTCGTAGAGATGAGAATGATCTTTCCCGGATTTCACCCACTAACTTACAGTTTGTCCCATTTCTTTTCTAAACAGCGATCTCCAGACGCTTAATTCGTTTTACCAAAACATTTAACGAGATCTGCCCATATTTTGAGAAAGTGCTGCCTCAAAAATTCTGCTTCTAAACAGAAACCAGTCGAATTGACTGTCAGCGGCCATGTTAGCTGTTGAACGCTAGGTCTCATTGTTTATTTATTTATATCGTGGCTTCCAAAATTTTTGTTTTATCAGCATAGGCAGGGGCTCTATATATCTAGTAGCAACATGCGCAAAAACCCATGAAAACTTAGAAATGTCTGAAACCACAAAAAGCAATAACAGACAGATATGTGTAGGGTTGGCAGTCGAGTACCAGAGCGCAGGTAACCCATATTTTGGTTCCATAATTTCGGTTTTTTATCACAATAGAAACTCTTTAGCCATTTCGTTAATAACAGCGTAATGCGCATGACATGTCCGCGCGGAAATGGACTTCGACCCCAGCTGGGGTCGCAAAAATTACTCAAGACAGGATCAAAAGATTTTGGATTACGGAACTTGACTGATCCCACCTGGCTTATGGTGTTCCTTCCGGAGGGGCCGGCCCGTGCTGCGTCTTCTGTGCCTCAGGTGGTGATGAAATTTGCTGATCACCACGCGTATAGCCTGATGCGTTCAACGGCACTTTTTGAATCACACGATGAGAGCCACCGATTTAGCGCTTCACCGTGATTTTAGTGCCAGTTAAGCTCTAAACTTTAATATCGCGGAGAAAAGTAGAAGAATAACTTCTTCGTGCTGCACTCATAAAAACCCGAAGAAATGAAAACTAAACAGCACATATAAATTATAAACTTATCACGTCCAGATTTAAGAAATAAAATTTGTCTTTTTGTTTTCCATGCTTTTACACTCTTAGGAATCTTATAGAGGTTCAAGCAAAAGAATTAGATCATTTATTTAAAGAATGCCTCAAAGTCTCTTTAAAGTTGGCTGGTTAGTTTTGGTTAGAAGTTCAGGCAAAAGAATTGGATCATTTATTTAAAGAATGATTCAAAGTCTCTTTAAAGTTGGTCTGGTTTTAGAACAAAAAATGTCGATATTTCTCTCTCAAAAATGGCCATTGTGAGTATGAGATCAAATTGGGTTTTTACGTTAAAATAAACAATACTTTATTGATTTAATTCTGCTAAGAATCAATCAATCTGTTACCAATCGTTTAACCAGGATATCGAAAATAATCCTTTATTTAAGTGATTGATTTTGTTATTATTATAGGGATTACATACCTTCGTATTAAAATCTATTGACAATATTACTGAGACGAAAACAGGTATTTAGGTAATATCACATCATCACATTCCTAATTTTGCGTCTGGAAATTGTAGTATACAACATAAACATAAAGAATCGAAATTAAATTATTGAATATTTCATATTGAATACAAAATAAGAATAAGTTTGAGCGTCGTTTCTATTTAAAAAAAAGTCGTTTGTTAATTTAGTTCTGTTTCTATTCTCATAATTTAATAAAACTAATTAGCCAAGTTGCAAAATGCTACTGACATTTTTTTTGTTGATCTCTCAAAAAGGATGAATGTTACAGCTTTCCCGACCTGATGATTCATTATTTTTTCCTGGAGTACCACTCCAATATAAAACCTAAAATACTGGAAAGATGTAAGTTCATGTGTCCAAAACCTACATTGAGAGGTTAGTCGGTAGGTCATCTCATAGTAGTACAAACAACACAACGAAATAACACCTAACTCACCTTGTGGACAGGTCCTGATAGTTCAGAATTTGAAACCTAACCAAATTTTACTCAACTAAAAATCCTACTTGAGTAGATTTTTCGGAACCTTGAAAAATGATAATTGCTTAACCGAATTTCAATTTCGCTGAAACTGGAAGGAAGGTCAGAAGAACTTCAAGTGGTACTAACAAAACTACGCATTCATTTAAGCCTATTATTGGGTAATAAAATTTTACCTTTAAATCTGTTGATACTAAATGTTTGTGTTTATTTAATTGATTTATTTTTTTTTGTGAGCAAGACAATCATTCAGCGAACGTTGAATTTATGACTTGTATATACTAGAGTAGATCTACCCAGTGCTGGCATCGTATACTCTTAGCAGATGATAGAACAATATAGATTGCGAATTCACTTGAAAAGGCTTGTGGTAGGCAAGAAATCACACAGAGACATTTTTAAGTGGATCATTATCCTGAACTGAGCTGGTGAATTTCATATTCAACATATATGAAAAAAATTTAACTTTATACGGGGTGTCTCAAAAGTTTGTAATATATCATGATACTTCCATTTATACTCAATCACGCAATGTAGGTCTGTCATGGTTTATACTGAGTATTTTCGGATTTATGGCCATTTTTTCGTCAGAAATGCCCTGTTTTAATATCCTATATTTTGAACGCCGTCTCCAGCAGCTGTAATTTTATTATGCCAACAATTTTATAAAGCGGTACACTCATTTATCGTATACTTGTCTTGAGGTTAGTTCGAATCATTTATACAGAGTGAGCTAAAATTTAAAAAATTAATTTTCGTAAAAAATCAAATGGAACAACCTGTATATTAATACCTCCATTAATTATTCCTATTAATGCTCTTTCAATTTTATTAAGCATCCCTTATACCTAAACTCCAAACACGATTTCGTTCGGGCATGTTCGGTCCACACAGTTGTTGGTCTGTGCGCTTGGCGCGTGATTTTAAATATGAATTTACTCGCATTTGCACTAACATAAACACTCCAGTGTTTCAAAAGAAATAATGTCACTGGGACGAAATTAGTCTTGATTGGGTAAAACACCGCACTTTATCACTGGTCGTTTCAGAACACCTGAAGTTGTTTGAACAGTAACAGTCCGTGTCACTCCAACTGTACCTGGATGAAGTTCGATGACTCTTTCCAGTCTCCACTTCAAGGGTAGAAGTCCATCCTCCTTTATGATCACTACGGATCTAGTTTTTAGTACTTGTGTTTTGTTCTCTCAGCATTTTACTGGCTGCTGAAGTTCTGATATATATTCTTTTGACCATCTTGACCAAAAATGTTGAGAAAGTTTTCGCATGCGTTGAATTCTTGAGAGAGTGTTCCCCTTCAATTTGGTGAAGTCGCAGTCTGGTATGGTGTTCATTGTTTCGCCATTTAGAAAGTGCGCAGGGGTTAAAGGGTTCGTTAGGAT